CCTTTTGGAGCCCAGGAAGCACTTGCTGCCTGCATGGCACATACATGCTGGCTCTTACTACTACCGAAGGGAATCAGGTACTGACCACAGCACCTCACGTGAACGCTGAAGGAATTTATCTCCCCGTTTTTTTTTTTTCACTAATCTAATGCAATTCATTCAAATGTCGTCACGTGTTCTTGCTACTGGGCAACTAGGTGGTGCACTGTATAGAGCACCAGGCCTGGAGTCAGGAAGACTCATTTTCCTGAGTTCAAATATGGCTTCAGACACTTCCTAGCTGTGTGACCCTCGGCAAGTCACTTAACCCTGTTTGCCTCAGTTTTCTCATCTGTAAAATGAGCTGGAGAAGGAAATGGCAAAGCACTCTAGTATCTTTGCCAAGAAATCCTCAAATGGAGTCATGGGGAGTCAGACAGACTGAACAAAGTATGTGTGAACAAGTTGTCCTTTCAAAGATGATCCTGTATTTCCTGTTAGCACAAATTGATGAAAGAACATATCTAAATAATGGCCCTTATCTATTATTCCAAAATTAGGTGATTTTATGTAAAATCTCAATCCCTCTGGATGCTAATACTAACAGTTTGCATTTACTGGAATAAAATGAGGAGTATGTGCTTTGTTATCATTTTTCTAAAGTCCAGAAGGTTAATAATAACTATGGTCAGTTCTCCCCAAATCTACAAAGGCACAAGTACCTCTCCAAGGACATTTTCTTTAATACTAGTTGAAAAGACTAAGCTTTTAAATTTTCTAACTTCAGCACAAAAATATACAACACCAATTACTGTTCCTGAATGTAGGATTATGTTGTGGAAGGGGAATTAATTCTTCAGGTGAGTCTCTGGCTCTCTTTGCCTCTACTAGCAATTAGTAGCAGAAATGAGGGACTTTATGTGTGTTCCCATTATACTCTTCTGCAAATCTATGTGGTCCTGGGCTGTGATTTAAACCTATCAGGAAGTAATGGAAAATTGCTCCCCCCCATTCAAAATTATTTTAACCTAGTTTACACCGTATTTTGAAGTACTAGGAGGAATAATACAAATGACCTATAGAATCAAAGCATCTTTGAGTTGGAGGCCCTTAGACACGACATCTTGTCTAATCTGTATTTGAACTGGAATCTTCCTATAGAACATTCTTAATAACTGTTCCATCTACAGTATTATACCCTCACCTGGGGTATTCCCAAAGGAATGTAAATTTTGGTCACTGAAACCTTTTTTCTTTCTCTGAAGTACCATGCCTTAAGCCCAAATCACTCTGTGACTGGCCAACAATAGGTCCCAGGCCAAGCCTCTACTAGGTCATTGTTTGGGCCCTGAGTGGCTCAGAGTGAGCGTAAATGGTAATTGTTTCAGTTCTAGCCAGAAACCCCGACAATCTTCCCTTCCCAGATTTTTTTTTTTGAGTAGATAAAAGGGGACATTTTTTGCCTCATTTCTCACCTAGCCTTAGTAACTGAATGGGTGTTGCCTCAGTTAAACTGAGACTTGTTAAATACCTTGGCAAAGGTCTCCCACTGCTTCCAAGGCCATTTCTAGTCTTCTCGATCTGTATCTTGCCAGTGGACCCAGATGGCTCCAGAGGAGAGAGTGAGGCTGGTGACTTTGTACTGCCCTAACTTAAATCCAATTCACTTGCATGTCATGACATTACCTCCCTCGTGTCATGGTCCTCTTTGAGAACGAAGGACAAACAACAATAATAACTGGTCACCTAAATTCTGCTTGGAAATCTCTGTGATGTGAAACACTACCTCCCAGGGCATCTCATTCCACTTCTGGACATCAATTAGTGTCAAATTTTTCCTTTACACAGTCAACAAGCACTTTTCAATGTGTCAGGTACCACAGGATACAAAGAAAAGGCAAAACCAAGATAGTCCCTGCCCTCATGAAGCGCACATTCTAAATGCTTGTTAACTGATGTACTCAGAACCAGCCTCTAACTTCAGCCCCTTGTTCCTCGTCCTGCCTTCTGGGACTGAGCAGAAGAAGTCGACAGTGAATATTTCTCTCCAAATCTTTTTTTCTTAAAAGCCTCAGTTTCTTCAAATCTTCATGTGAAATTGCTTTGAGTTGCCTCAGCATGGTCCTACCTTGTCAGTATACTCCTTAAAACTCAGCGTCCAGAGCTGCACACAATACTCCAGATAATAGTGTGAACAGGACAGAGTAAAATTAATCAGGCTTTGTTTTGTTTGCTTCTGTTTTATCCAGGACCTAACATTTCTTAATATAGACTAATATTATTATTAGCCATTTTATTATGTATTATGTACTCCCCATTTTGGCTGCCTCAACATTGTTCTCTCATATTGTTCTGTCCATTAAAACTCTACTTGGTCATCATTAAAGACACATAACATAATTCCCCATATTTCCAAAAGTCCTCTTTTTTTCAGCAAGACATATTATTATTTCAGGCTGTTTGCAATCGCTACAGGGTATAAAATGCCTGAAAATACACCTGCCCCAAAAGACCTGGGAACTAGATGAACCTGAACACAAAACGCTTTGTATGCAAGTCGAGTCCGATGAAAATAATTGAGGTGATATTTATCGTCTGTTGGTAGGGAAAGCCAGTATCCTTTTTCTAAAATGACAAATGTCCTTCCTCCGCTGACCAAGATTCTACTTACGAGGGAATTTAAACTGATTGAGGGGACAGATCCAAGAAGTGACAGGTGCCCAAACCGTGAATGGACATCAGCAAATGCTGCATTGGAAGCACATGTTGTACAACGCATTCTAACGTGGAAGTGTATTTTTAGAGTAGAAATAAGACCTCTCCTTCCCCCCCCCCCAAAGCTAAAAGTTTAAGAAAAAAAGCAAAATTCATTTTGCTTGGAATGTACACTTTTGCTCGTGATTCCCATCCGTGTTCAAGTCTTACATGCCATCCGTGTCTCCGGAGTATTATTTTTGGAGAAGTCTCTACATGGTGAGGGTTAACAGGGAGCTGGTCAAACACATCTTCCTTTTCTCTGTGGCGTACATGTTCGTTGTGCGGACATTACAGACAGGGATCCAAACAATTTGAGTTCCAGTTTTCTTTTTTCCTAGGCACGTGCTTCATTTTTACAAAACTATTTCCTTTTGGAAAATGCCCTCTGGTGACTGCACTATGGACTGACTGTGTGAACTGTGTGGATATTTGATGTAGGTACGTGCCCCATCTCTGGAAAGCAAGGATGATTATGGCAGCACTGTATTTTTACTGATTTTTCACGGTCTTCCAAAAGATGATGATAATGATGAAATTCTTCCTAGAGGGCAGTGAGAAATGTTAGGAGACTGGTTAAAATGCATCATGTTTTGGGTCCAAAGGTCCCCTTTAAAATGGGTCTCATAGCAAGTGTCCACATTGTGTGGTGGGGGTGGGGAGGATACACAGGTATGATCTGAGTCCAGATCTGAGAGAAATCCAGCGTCCGTTCCATTGGCCAAAAAGTGATCAAAGTACCAAATCAGGTGAAGTGAGATATGGAGTTTACAGCTACTTCCTTGTGGTCCTTTCCCCCTGATACACTCCAAGCTTACCCTCTTTAAATTCTCATTGTCCAGTGACACAGGACAGTCATGTTTTGGCTGTACTCTTGTGTGGACCTATCTTTTATGGATCTCAAAATCTATTTACCAGTATCTTGATTCAAATTCCATTTGTTAACCCTCATTACCTTGTGTCCCATTTAAAAACCCAAACCCACTGTCTCAATCCTTGGCTCTAGCCTGTAGCTTTCTGTTGGGTTTGGACCATGGGATGACTCCAGCACTTAGCACAGTGACTGGCAAATAGTAAGTACTTAATAAATGCTGCTTGTTTGATTATGGTCCAAATACTCTACACATCCAGCTTCTGTTCCAGATTCCTCACGTCCTGTATTGCTCTGATACTACGTGTGATACTAAGCTGACAACCTATGCGTTGGAAAGAATCCTGATTTTAAAATCAAGAGCTGGGTTCAAATCCTAGCTCTGCCTCATTACCTACATGACCTCAGGTAAGTCATGAACCTATGAACCTCTGTTTCCTCTTCAGTAAAATGAAGGAGTTATCTACCTACGTGGTCTTTTCCAGATCTGAAATCTATGCTCCCAAGACACTATTCCTACTTTCACAAATGAGATGACCGAGGCACAGAGAGGTTAAATATCTTGCTCATGGTCACACAGGTAGTTAAGTGTCATATCTTCCTGACTCCAAGTCCATCATTCTATTGAGTATGCCCCACTGGCTCTCAACTGTATACAAATGGAGGTGCTGCTAAACTGGTTTTAAAAGTACTTGGGAAAAAAATCTGCTTTAACTCAAGATTCTCCTTTATGATCTTGTTTACATTATTAATTTGCTTAACAAATGTGATACTCGTAGTTCAAATTTTTCATCAGTGGATTCTGAATTTATGAGAATGTATGAGGTAGATGGGGGTACAGGTGATAAAGCACTGGACTTGGGGCCGGGAAACCAGAGTTTAAATCCTGCCTCAGACATTAGCTGTGTGATCCCCAGCGAGTCCCTTAACACTTTCAGCCTCAGCTTTCCCATCTACAAAATAAGGAGAATTGACAGCACCCATCTCACAGGGTTGTTGTAAGGCTCCAATGATATATGTGTGTATGTATATACATATATGTATATATATGTATATACATACACACACATATTATATGTGTGTGTGTGTGTGTGTGTGTGTGTGTAAAGTGCTTTGCACATTTTAAAGTGCTATACCAACACTAGGTATTCGCTATTATTATTTATGGGCTCATTACTGTCAGTAGAGAGCTTACCATCCAACCCATTTATCTGCCCACTTTGTTCCTCTCACACTGATGATAAAAAATTTTAAATGTTTAAGTATGACAGTGAAATGAATCATTGTTCCTTCTATGATAAGGTGCAGAAATAACAAGTATATACCAGTGGGGGAAAAAGAGTGGGGGTTATTTCCTGTAAACCACGCCGAACAAAATACTAGCAAACAGATTAAGACTCATCAAATGAAAATGTATTTCACTGTTATAACATGCTACATACATCATGCAAAGGAAGGCTCTCCATAGTATACAGTAGGACTGGTCAAGTAAAACATCTTCAGTGGCATCTCTCAAGCACAATATATCACAGCAAAATAAACAATGAGGAAAGGATGGGAAAGTCTTCTTCAGAAGACAAGTACCATCTTCCTCATCTGGACCTGTTCACTCACTGGAAAAGGGACTCTTCTGACACACGCCAAGATAAATGCATCTACATCATGGTAGGCATATATTTTACTTAATATATGTACTGTACATCCATATGTACATACAAACACATACACACAGGATAATAGTTAGCTATTTAATTCTTAAACAATTGCTGGTTTTCAAAGCACAAGGACAAGGTTACTACTGAGACCATGGTATTCCAACAACTTCCTCAATGTTCCCACTTTTTGTTAACATCTGCTAAAATTCTTGGTCTCCCTTGTCCTTTGAAGTACTAGGTTAACAAGGCCTCAAAGAAGAAAAGAATGATATAGTCTGAGGGTTACTTTCCACCGAAAGAAAAAAATGAACCAAAGTGCATTTTGTATGGCACAAAATGTTTATAAATGATAAGGTCCCATGGGAATTTTCCCATACAGGTGTTTCAACATATTACACAGAGTGATATCATTAAAGCAAGTGAAAATACTGTGCCCCTTTGGGACCCATCAGTGTCTCAAAGTAGTAGTTTTCATTGAAATGTTTAGATTTAATTTTTACTAAAGGTGGATAGAGAGACAATAACCCAAGATAGAAAAAAAACAAGCAAAAACAAACAAAAACCCACCACCATTACCACCACCAGAAACAACTGCATATGCTACCTGTATCAGGAATACATTATTTAGACAAACCCACGTGAAACTTCAATTGTAATCTGGAGAACTGTGGTCAAAAACAGAAGCTGTTGTATAATGTCAAAGTTAATTTGCTACAATCAGCTGCAAAAGCAGATGGGAGTAATTGTGAGAAGGTTGGAATTATCTTCTCACTGGACCAACAGATTAAAAAAAAGCAAAGGGAGAGCAAAAAAAAGGGCAAAATCATGACAATCATTTTTCAGTTGACTAAACTTAACAGCAGCCAGTGGGGCTTCTCAATTATAGCAACTATAGAGTAAAGCATGCTGTGTTTCCTCAATGAAAACTCATTTCAAAGCCTTCAATGAAAGGAAGCATGATTGAAGGGCGATGGGGGAAGGTGGAGAGAATATGGTAGGAAGTAATCTATTTAATGCCTTCCCCCATTTAGACAAGGACAGGCATGCTGCTCAAGTCCAGGACATTTTAAGTGATCTTTAGGTAAATGTGATAAATGTTAAGTGTATTTACAAGAAAAGATATCTAGATACTTATGTGACCTGACTTGGAAGAATGATTATAAAGTGAATGGACAAGTTGAAGTCTTTGATGTTCTTCAGATAATGAGTAGGATATTAGCTTAAGTACTTGACCAGTGGTCAAAGCTTTAATACACAGCACAATGAAGCTTCCCTGAAACCAATCAAGGGTTAAGAGCCAAGTTTTGTATTTATTTTTAAGCCAGTTTGGGGCATATATACCCTTGAGAAGACACAATATTACATTCAGCTCTGATTATTGGAATCCAGTGGTCAAGGATTGCAGAAGCTTCTCTAGATGATAAACAGTTCATATTTTACTGCCAGCAGCATCACAGGTCTGTATTTTCTCCATCATATACTACCTCTGTCAATTCAAAAAGGGAAAAAAAAAAGATCAAAATAATATCAACCAAATGAAATGTCACTAGCTCTAAGTTTATGATTCAGAATCACCTTTCCCTTACTCTCTCTTTTAAATTACTACATAATATAAGTACTTTCCTGCCTTTCTCAGAAGTGACACTCTTACTGGGCACTGAAATGAATTGTAAGAATTTGAAAACAGGTTAATTCTTTAGTGAAAGAATATGAACAGAGAGAAAATCATTTCATGACATTATTACTGATACATTTTCCTCTAAAGACACTACTTTCCAAGGTTTCTGCTAGGTGAGGCAGTGTAGTCTATCGGAAAGAACATTACATTTGAAGTCAGAAGACCTAGTTCCTAATCTCTGCCTGCTCTCTGCTGCTTGCATGAACTTGGCTAAATCATTTAACCTTTTAAAACCTGTTTCTTTACTTGTAAAATAGGGAGGTCAGAATAGATGATCTCTAAGGTATTTTTCTAGCTCTAAATCCTATCAATTGGAGATGGAGTATGTAGAATTGAAAGCATAAAAACAGTTTCTTAATTTAAATGGCACACCTTTTCCCTCCCTTAAAGTTTTATGCTTTAAAATTTTTTATTAAGTTCCATATATTTTATATTCATGTACTTTATATTTACATTCTAAGTTTATATTATACTTTGTAAGGTTTTTATTTTTATATTAGTTATTTCATCTTAAATTCTTCCTCCCCCACTGAACCAACCCTTCCTCGTAACAAAGAACAACATTTAAGCAAAGCCAACCAACACACTGATCATGTCTGACAGCATGTGTTTATGCTGAATTCCATCTCTCTGGTGCCCCACAATGCCCTAACCCCTTCTAACTGGAGAGAGGTATTTCTATTGTATGTATGTCTATGTAACTACACATATATGCAGGGGCAGCTAGATAGCACAGTGGATAGAGCACTGGCTTGGAATCAGGAAGTTCTAAGTTCAAATCCAGCCTCAGACACTTACTAGCTATGTAAGTAACCCTGGACAAGTTCAGTTCCTCATCTATAAAATGGAGACACAATGGAGAAGGAGATGGCAAACCACTCCAGCATCTTTGCTAAAAAAACCCCTTGGATAAGTCCATGGGAGTCATGAAGAGTGGAACACAACTGAACAACAAAAAATACATGCATACATACATGCATATGTGTGTGTTTGTAAGTGTGTGTATATATATAATATGTGTATATACACACACACACACACACACACACACACACATTTTTTTTTTTAACAGACGAGAATGCTAAAAAAAAACCAAACCAAAAAGCTTCTGAAAGGGAAGCTCATGAAGTAGAAATTTTATGTTATGGTTCAGTTGAACAGAAATCTCCAAAAATAGTTGAAACATACTATTTGGGTAAAATATTCTTCTTCTTTTGGATATCCAGGAAAATATTTTATCCAAAAAGGGCCTGCCACATGAGAAACTGAAGGTGTTCTTGTGTGAAAAGACCACATGTAGTTGTTTTGGCTTCAACTTAAGATGCTAAAGGTGGAAAGGAAAGCAAATTCTAAAACGTGTTTTCTAAATGAGATCACTATGGTTTTGAAGAAGTAAGATGACAGCTTGTGAAAAAGAGACCAACTTGGTTTAGTATGCTGATATATACTCTGGTGCTTATTGAGAAAAGAGTAGATGGTAAGGCTCCATGACAAAAAAGGTGGGGGGTGGGGGGGTGGGAAGAAGTATTCTCTAAAAGGAATGAAGTCAGTTTTTACCTGGTAATGATAAAGCATGTTCAAGATTACTTTCTATTTTAGCTAGGATGTCATGTATAATTTTCCTGCTCTACTGTTTTCAGAGAAATTTTGAAATCTCACCTCAGTCCAGCATTTCTGATAATTCTTACTATTTCCATCTGACATATGCTGGAGTGGGATGGTACTCCAAAGCTCAGGAGGAGAATGAAAATACAACAACATTGACTATGAAAGTCACTTAGCATTTCTCAAACTTTTAACATAACTTCCTAAGTCAAACTGTTGTACCGAGAAATCAGCGAGTGAGATCCAGGCATAATTTAAGATGTGGATTTATTAGTGCACAGCTGTCAGGGGTATTTACATCCAAATCAAGCAGCCCCCATCAGGGGTCGAGCTAGGGTTTATATAGAAAAGAGCATGGGAAAGAAATCCGAGGAACACTGATGAGGTAATCCAAAGATGCAGGTGTCTTTGGGGGCTATGGATGGGAAAGTACAGGGAGTATACAGGACAGGGAGGGGGATGGATCTTTGAAGTCTGGCAAGAGGAAGAGTTCTTGGGCTGGTCAAGGACACCCCTCTCCCTCTGTCTCGATGAGAGAATGCTCTGCAACAAGGGAAAGCTTTCTCACAACACAGGAACTTACTGACAAATTGGGAGGCTTCCAGAGACATGATCTGTGGGGCTGGGGCCTGAGCAGCCCAGGGACAGAGATAAGGATCATGCTGAGGCCCATGCATGAATAACTGCTAGGCACAGTGTCCTTGGGTTGGGGAATGGTTGTTAGAGACAGTGTTTCTGAGAGTAGGGAGAAATTGGGGCACAAGTACAAGCACAAGCACCCGAACACCCCATTATTACGGGTCACAGATCACACAAACCAGACCAGGTGTCCTGGTCTCTGGTATAAACATAATTATCTAAAGCAATTATATTGCAAGCTTTCTTATCCATTTGCGTTGGAGGTACGGGCTATGCTGAGCTATGCAAGAGTACATTTCACTATTGTTTAGATTTAGGAGGAAAGAGGTCTGAGGCAAGATTAAGCACCAACTTTTGCTTTCCATGGCTTAAAGGGCCCTACTACCTAAATGGCAAAATAATGTTCTGTGTTACAAAACAAACTAAGAGTTTAAGTTTAAAAGTCTAGGGAATAACAAATCTCTACGGTTGGCAACATAGTATTGAAAACTTAAGCAAGAGATTCTGTTTGAGTTGCTACCTCTAAACAAAAAAACTATTTGATAAAGCTGAATGATTTAATATGAAAAAGTTTCAACTTTTATTTTGAAAATGAGAATTAAAGCTACACATTAATAAATTGTAAAATGACACACCATTAACCCATATTTATTATACTGCATTAAATAAGTTATTGTTATCCCTGACTAATTAAATATTTAATAGATGAAAAGTTCTCTTTCTTTTCTCTCAAGCCTTAGGTTTTTGAGTTTCATATCATCTTTTCAGGGTTTCTAAATGGAAAGAAGTACTAATGCTTTCTTTGGATCCAGACAAATTTTCCAAAGTCTGAATCAAGTTCTGCATTAATAGTGACTTTCATGTGGACATTATCTCCCTGATGGTCATTACATTATTATGATTTGGATGGGTAAAATACTTATCATTTATAATGTCTGACTTTCCAGACAGAAATGCTTCATACATAAACACACATGTACACATATGTGTGTATGTCCTTTTTTATAAGATGCACATATTCATGAAATTTAAGTAAGTTGTGCTTTAAAAGAGAAACAAAATCCTAAAACATCCCAGACATAGTATGGTGTGAGGCAGCAGAGTATTAGACCTTGGGAATCCAGAAACTTGGCATCTGGTCCCAGCTTTGCCTCTTGACTTGAGCAGGGAGTTGACCCAAACCAGAGATGTCAAAATTAAGGCCAAATTACAAGGGGCTGAACGTCTACTGAACCAAATTAACACTTACCTGGGTAAATGTTTAACAAAATAAATAAAAATACAGCATAGGCAATGTTAATTTGTGGCTTTCTAAGTCAATATGCAATCTGCAGGGATCTATTTCTACCTGAATTTGACAACAGTGGTTTAGATGACCTGCTATACTTTGAGCTATTACTATTTATTATTAGTTTCTGTTTAGAACAGTAGTGGGATCAGGCCTGTGAAAAGCTGTTATGCTTCCAGCCTGGGTGAATAAGGGAAAGAGGGAAGGAGGGAAAGAAGAAAGGAAGGAAGGAAGAAGAGATGAAAGAAGGGTGGGAGAGAGGGAAGGAGGAAGAAAGGGAGAGAGAAAGGAAAGAGGGAAGGAAGGAAAGGATAAAGAGAGAAAGGGAAAAGAAAGAAAAAGAAGAAAAAAAACCAGTCCCTCCACAGTCATCACAGTACTGTACCTTTACATTATAGCATATTGTATCCATCAACATATTGTATTAAGTGTATTTTCTGGTCCTGGACTGTTAAATTCTTCAATCAAGTTTTTGTTACAGTCATCCATGGCAAGGGTTTCACTGGATCTCTTGGGATAAGTTGGGGGGCCTGTGAAATCTAAGAGCTCTTCAATGGCCTTAGCATTACTGGTTCCATTCTGTTCCAAAGAAACACTGGGAATGATGTCATTCACTGGTGAAAATTCTGGGATGGAGATAAGTTCTTCTTTTGAAACCGGACTGGAAAAAAAAAGATTTTTTTTCACTGCTCAAACCTTTTTTATTTAATTTCTAATTTTATTCTTACACATTTTACTTATTTTCTTCTATAGAAGGTGGGCTTAGAGGCAAGGTACATGTAGAAGGAACTGTAGAGGACAAAATCAGAAAACAAATGAGGTTAGTTAAAATTAGAGGGTATCAATAAGCATCAGGTCCCTGTGTATTAAACCAAGCAACATGGATTGGGAGGGTTTGCGTGAAGGCACAGCATGACTCTGGGTTAGGCTTTCTATATTTGGACACATTTCCATGCAGCCGGAGTCAAGAAACAGAGAGATTAGATACACTTACTCTATGATGAGGCAAGTCATTTCAAGTGGACCAACCTACAGACTGGAAAGCCAAAACAGAAAGCAAAACCAAAAAACTAAAGCTAAAGAGAGCTTCAGGAAGGAGTCTGATATTTGTGCACATGTGATCATCATGACCATGGCCTAGGCACATAATATCCCCCCCATCTAGAGGACTGGCTGGGATAGGCATCTGTGAGTTTGACATGGTGCCTAGGCCACCAGAGGTCCATCCCATCTAAGTGTTGTTTATAACACGCACCAGCAAAGTTAGCTTCAAAGTAAATACTGATTTTCCCCATTTGGCTCCCAGTGGAAAATGGAAATCTTATAGTAGAACATTACTGATCTGGTTATTGCCCAAAAGAATTCTCTGCTTTATATGAGCCAAACTGATCTGCCTAGCATTCAAGTCTCCATACTTCCTGTTTCCAGTCTTCTCTCTTCTCTCCCACCTCTCCCTGCCTTTCATTCTTTATTTTAGCCAAACTAGATGACTCTCTATCCTCTGTGCTTATATGAATCTGTGCCTTTATTCTTATTCTAAGTGTACATAATAAACCCCTTTTCATGCAGTTTGTTTGTTGAATTCCTACTCATTTTTTAAGTCTGTCAAATACCACCCTCCTCCAGAAAGTCATTCCTGACAACTACATCTTATGCTCAGTAACCTTTATCTTTCCTCCCCCTTCAGGGATAAATAAACTTCTTGAGAAAGCCTTCTACTTAACTCTCTTTGAAACTCTCCCAATCTGGCCTCTTAACTCATTGAAACCACTCCCTCCAAAGTAACCAATGACCTCTTAATTGCCAGATCTAATGGCCTTACTCAATCTTGATTTTCCTTGGCCTCTCTGCACACCCTGACACTTCCACCAGAATACTCTCTTCTCTGGGTTTTCTTTGACACTGCTCTCTTCTGGTTCTCCTCTTATCTCTCCAACTCTCTGCCTCAGCCTCCTTTGCTCCATATTCCTCTTTATCATTCCCACTAACTGTGGGGTTTATCCAAAGTCTCTGCTCTGGGTCCCTTTCTCTTTTCACATTTTACTATCTCACTTGGTCACTTCACCAGCTCCCATAGGTTCAATTATCATCTCTATGCAGGTGATTCCCTTATCAATATATCCAGCCCTAGTTGCTATGCTGAGCCAGAGTCATGAATTTCCTACTGCCTTTTAGACATCTCATACTGGAGGTGCAATAGGCGTGTTAAACTTAACATGTCCAAAACAGAATTCATTTATCTTTCCTCTCCACCAAACTTTGACCCTTCCAATAGTCTCATAACTGTCTAGGCCCCCAGGCTCACAACTTTGGTGTCATCCTTGAGTCCTCACCTTCACTCACCTTGCATATATCTAATCTGCTGCCAAATCATGAAGTTGCTACCTTCTCTCCACTCAACACTGCCACAATGTTGAATTCAGGTCTTCATCATTTCTCCCCTGGACTAAGCTATCTCCCTGCCTCCAGTCTCTCCCCACTCCAGTCCATCCTCCACTCAGCTGCCAATGTGATTTTAAAAAAAATATTGTGCCATCTCTCTCTCTCTCACACAGACAGACAGACAGACAGACAGACACACACACATCACACACACACACACACACACATCACACCCAGTGAACTGCAATGGGCTATTACCTTCAGAATCAAACATAAAGGCCTCTGGTTTTACATTTAAAATTTTTTTGTAACTTGGCTCATTACCTTCTACCTTCTCACTACTTCTACCTTTCTTACACTTTATGCCACGCTACACATTCTACAATCTAGGTATACTGGATTACCTGCTGTTCTTCACCCATAACACTCTACCTCTCATTTCAATGACTTTGCACTGATTGTCTCCTATGCCTGGAATGCTCTCCCTCCTTACATCCTCCTCTTGGAATTCCTAATTCCCTTTGAGATTAGGCTCAAATCTCACGTAGTATGAGAGGCCTTTCCCCCAGCTGCTAATTCCTCACCTTTCAGATTATCTTCATCTACTCTGTATATATCTTGAATGTAACAATTATTTGCATTATGTTTCCTCCATGAAGGGATGGCTTTGCCTTCCTTCATTCCCTCCCTCCTTCCTTTCTCTTTCTCCCCTTTTTTTCTTCCTGCCTTCCTTCCTTCCTTCCTTTCTCTACCTTCCTTCTTTTCCTTTCTTCCTTCCTTTTCTTTTTTGTCTTCCTTCCTTCCTCTTTCTTTTTTCCTTCCTTCCTCCCTCACTTCCTTCCTTTCTTCCCCCAACTGCCTGGCACATAGTAAGTATATAATAATGGATGCTGACTGACTTGATCCCTTCCCTGTCAATAACAACTTCACTATAGAACATTTTTATACCTCTGTAATTAACTAGCTTATCTGTGTTAGTGCCTTAGCCCCCTACTAGACTGTAGTAAGCTCCACGACAGTAAGGCTTGTGTCTTATCTGAACCTGCTATCTCCCTCAGCACCTTCTACAGTGTTCTGCAAACAGAACATGCTGAATTAATGTTTGTTCTTCTCCTAACTTCTCTCCTTGGGAAAACAATGTGATATAATGGGAAGAATACTGGCTCTGGAGTCAGAGGTTGCTGTACAGTTGTTTTTCAGCCTCTTCATGACCTCTTCTAAGGTTTTCGTGGCAAAGATACTGAAGTTGTTTGTCATTTCCTTCTCCAGCTCATCTTACAGATAAGGAAACTAAGGCAAACCGGGTTAATTGACTTGCCCAGGGTCACACTGCTAGTAAATACCTAAGGCCATATTTGAACTCAGGAAAATAAGTCTTCCTGACTCCAGGCCCAGTGTTCTATGCACTATGGTATCACTTAGCTCGCCCTAGCTAGCTACATTAAAATTCCATCACTGATGCTTATTAATCTATGGAATCATAGGCAAGTTTCTTAAATTTCTTGGGGCACCATTTCCTCATTTGTAAAATGATCTCTGAAGTCCCTTCTAACTCTAAATCTGTGAATCTTATTAAAGAGAGATAAGTCCTATAGAAGACAGGCTAGAGAATACTGCTTGCTGTTAGTGGACCTGGCTGGATGACTCCAGCCTGGCCTTAACCTTGAGATCCCACCCTCTTATATAGTCTTTTAAAAAGTAAAACCTTAGCTTCTCTGATTTCCTCTCCTTATCACCCAAAGCCAGTTTTGGAATAGCGGTCGTACTTACATTAACAACATTCTCCTTCTGCCTACTGAGTTTTGTGAAAAGCTCTGCTCAGGGTAACTATCTCACTAATACCAGGACAGAAGGGATGCATAACACAATCCCTATCACAAAGCCTTGCCAAATCTGCACCCCCAGCCAACTATCTTAATACTGAGGAAAGAGAAAAGGCAGTGTAGCTAAGGATTTTAGGTTTTAGGAGATTTCTTCCTCTGACTGGAAACAGCTTTGCTGTTGTTGTTATGAAAACTGCTGACCCAAAGTCACAGAAAGGCAGAAAGCCTAGTCTCCCTCAATTCCTCAATCAACACATTTTCTCACCCCTCTCAACTCTTTCTTAAAGCCTGGCAGCAGGTTTCCTCTGTCTTCCCTCCCTCAACTCCAAAGACTCTCTTTAAAGGGGCTCATGAGACTAAATCTAATGGGCTGAAACAGTGTTGGGGTGGCCTTCATATGTCTCAGGGATTTTCTCCTGGGGTAGAGGGAGGGATAATGTGGCCAAGGAAAAGGATCTGAAGAGGTCCTGCTACCCCAGCTTTTTTTTTTTAACTGGATCTGTGACTTCATGGCATAGGAACTCTCAAGAAAAAAATTCTTCTATCAATGCCTATCAGCACCTTCTCTTGATCATATGACTTTAAATAGTTAGCTAGCCATTGAGAAACTCAGTGACTTGCTGCGGTTACGTGGCCAGCATGTGTCCAAGGCAGGACTTAATCACTCAGGCCTCCCTGACCTTGAGGCCAGCTCTTTAGAGACTGTTACGGTGACTCTTCATGTCATTTTTAGAGAGTTCTAAAGGGGAAAAGCCTTGAGAATACCCAGATTTTCACACATCTCGTAATTCATGTTGTTGTGCTGACCCAATTTTGGGGTTTTCTTGGCGCAGATACTAGAGTGGTTTGCCATTTCTTTCCCTAGCTTATTTTATACATGAGGAAACTGAGGCAAACCTAGTTAAGTGACTTGCCCAGGGTCACACGACTAGTCTCTGGGGCCAGATTTGAACTCAAGAAGTTGAGTCTTCCAACTCAAAGCTAGACAGCCCCAGATGAAAGTGTAATCAGGGAAAGGTTTAACAAAAAAATAAGAATATAACACAAGTTATGTTCATTTGTGATGTTCTAGTCAATATATAGCTGCAGGGATTTGTTTCTATTTGACTTTGACAACACTGTATACACTGTCTTATTCCTTCTGCCAGGTATCACTCCCTCACTGACCCTGCTCCAATCTCATTCTCACAATGCCACATAGTCTCTTCCATGCCTTATGTTCTCCTCACCCGTCTGGCTCGCTCTTCCTCCCATCCCACCAGACAGAGAGACAGACAGACAGACAGACACACAGACATACACACACACACACACACACACACACACACACATACATGTTCCTGCCTGGGCTTTTACAATATCTCACAGTACTGCTCTAGAATAGCATAACATAAATACAAGTTCCCAACTAATGCATGCTATATTAAACACTTCTTAAGTTTGGGCCTTGAGGTCTTGAGAAAAAAAAAAACCCAGTATCTTATTTAGTGAAAGCCTAATAAAAACTCCCTCATGCAAAATAAAGGAAAGTAGTATTAACCTGCCACCACAAATTTTGTCGTATCATCCAAATTACTTTAACTTACATCACTGGTCCTTGCATCAGAGTAGAGTAAGGAGACCAACCCAAGAGAAGTCAGTTAACAGCTCAGAGGAGACGAGCGCTAAGTGTGAAAGAAACACACGTACCTAACATCCATAGACTGAACCTCATCTGTGGAATCATCCAGACTGTTCATCTTCCCATCTAGGGCATCCAGATGGATAAGTCCTGCTACTGGCTTAAGACCATTAGAGAAGACATCCTGGGAGATAGTTTCAGGAGCAGAGCGTCCCACCCCATTAGTTTCTTGGTAGGGGGTCAATCCATTCATTTCTAATTTGGAACACAAGAATCATTAAAACAGAATTCCTTAGGTTAATCATAAAAAAAACTGAAACAAAGTAACTCGAGGAGAAATGAACATTGATTGGGTCAGCTGATTCAATCCTCCAACAAAACCACAAATTTTCTTAGAATAGAAGCAGAGTAGGATTCTATTTGATTTTTCATAGATTAAATGAGGAAAACAGATCAGGTAACAAAATCCTAGCATGCAAAGAAAGCTTAAGGCATACTAAGGAAGCTTCATGTTAAATATCTGACAGTTTTTCCATTTCTACTCATTGTAAGGCAAAGAAAAGGTTGAAAAATTATTCTCAAATGGGTATATCCACTGAGATGTGGTAAGAGGACATGATATGAAACCCATAGGACCTTCATTCAGATAGATGCCAGTTATGCAACTTATTTGTCGCATGGCTTGGGCAAATCACTTTACCTATCTGGCTCCAGTTTCCTCATCTATAAAATGAGAATAGACTAGATCAGAGGTGTCAAACATGTGGCCTGTGACTCACAACACTCCCAAGTGCCACTTGGGCCAGATTAAAATGTAACTAGAAAATATTTAACGAAATAAATAAAAATGTGATGAAACACAGATAATGTTAATAGGTGGTTTTCTAAGTCAATATGCAACCTGCAAGAATCCTTATGTACAATTTAGTGACCCCCATTTCTATTTGAATTTGATAGCACTGGACTAAATGACCTGGAAGGTTCCTTTGATATAAACCTATGGTCTTAGGTTGCCTATAATCAGTATGGAACAACCAAAACTACCAGTAATTTTCTTAAAGGGAGGAACAGGAGGAAAAAAACAAACCACCAGAACACATGTAATCTTCTTCTCTGTAAAAGAGCAATCAATTAATAAAGAATATAAGAAATGACCAACATGAAAACAGACTAGTGTCATATAAATGCTCAATGAATAAGCATCCAGAGGCTTGACTTCTAGTTTTATTGGGTACTAAATCAGTTGGTTACTATCGATGACTTTCCTTTAAGGAGTACTTTGTAATTTAATCTACATAAGTCTTTTGTGTGCTTTGGAAAATCGATCAATCAATCCACACATTTTACGAATTTGTAGTTATTTGGAATGAAATTTCCCTTTCTACTTATTATTGCTTCTTGGATTTTGTCATTGTTATATAGAAATTACATAGAAATGTCCATTTAAAAATTTTTCTTTCTTTTCTTCTTTTTCCCATTTTCATTACAAAACATTTCCATATTAGCCATGTTGTGGGGGAAAGAAAGCATATACTCAGCATATACTCAGAGTTCAATAGCGCTCTCTCTCTCTCTCTCTCTCAGAGAGCATTTTTCATTAGGAGTCTTTTGGAATCGTCATGAATCATGTATTGGTGCAGCTGATTTTTGGGAGTTTATTTTGTAGCCTACAATTTTGCCGAAGCTATTGTCTTGATTAGTATCTTTGCTGATTCCCTAGCAATTAATTTTCCAAGTATACTATTAGTATATATTTTCCAAATATACCACCATATTATCAGCAAATAGGGATAGTTTTATCTCCTCTTTATCTATTTTTATGCCTTTAATTTCATTCTTTTGTCTTACTGTTGTTGCTAGAATTTCTAAAATTATATCAAATAATAGTGGGGAAGTAGTCATCTTTGCTTTACTTTCATATCTATTAGGGAAAATTCTAGTGTATTCCCATTGCATATCATGCTTGCTTTGGGTTTTGGATAAATGCCTATATACTTTGTAAGATTTCTGACATAAATGCATGTTGTGGCATCAATGATTTTCCAAATGAAGCCCACAGTTTCTGACATGGTGACTGGGGAGAGAAACATCTTGTACACACTGGGTTGGACAATGTGATCTAAGGACCTTCCCAACAATAAAAAAAATTTATAGTTAAATATGATTATTAGTTGTGGATGTTTTAAAAACAGTATACCAAGGATAAACTTATTCCTATACTCACCTACTTTACTCTGTACAACTAGCTTTGATGTATTATTTTCCACATTCAAAATTGGCTGAGTCTCCTGTTTGGGCTGAGTCTCCAATATAGGCTCCTCCTTCTGCCACAAACAAAATATATGAAAGATTAACTTGAAGCAGGGAAAGAAATGACTTTAAAAAGTTTAGAAAATATTTAGTTCTTCACTGGGTCATCTATCTACCAATTAATTAAATTCAACATTTATTAAACCTCTACCATATACCAAAGATACTACTAAGTTAAAAAGGAAAAAGTCCTTTTCCTCCAAAAAGGTGAAATCTACCGGAAGGATACAATACAAAAAAATGAATACAGGGAATATATTAAAGATAATGTAATTTCAAGAGGGAAGAAAGTACTAATAACTGCAGGAATCAATAAAGGCCTCATAGTTAATGAGGAAGCCTGATGAAAGTTATGGCTTTGAGAAGACAGACATTGCAAGCATGAGGGACCCCTGTGCAATGGTAACAGGTGGGATTAATCAGGCAGGTGAGTCTAACCTGGATGGAAACGAAATGAAACTGGAAAGGTAGGGGGAGGTTGGCTTATGGGGGCCTTAAATGCAGAGCTGAGGCCGCTAGAGGCAAGCATCTATTCTGTGTTTTGTCTCTGCTTTCTCTCTTCTCCTTACTCATTTTTTCTGCCTTGATGTGGATGACCCTTTTTTCCCTTGGTGGCTCCACCCATTGGGAATCTCCTTCTATACATAAAGCAAACTATCTCTGCCTTGTCTTTCAAACCCCTCTCCTGAACTTATCTCTTCTTGGTAGCAATTCAGTATTCTCTAAAATACCAAGATGACAGAAGACTCAAATGCTTATTAGTTAGTAGTCTTCCCTCCCTCCTACAAATCCTTCGAATTTATTTCTCATTTCTTCCCTTGTCTTGCTTGGAACCAGGCCTTCGTGTCATTTCTGCTCCTGAAACTCTGGCCATCAGCCTTACTTCCCTTCCAAAGCAACCTTGGGTTCTGCCTCTGGGAAGCTGGGCTTTAATAAGTGAATTCTTGCTTTACTTGCCCAGAACCAGGCCCCTGTTGCACTTCCTAAACATCTCCATACCAAGGTGTTGTAGGCTTATCCCCTCCCCTCCTTTCCTGCTCCCCTTTATGTGATTTCCCTCCACTAAAATATAAACTCTTTGAGGGAAGAGATTGCCATGCTTGCTGTATTTGTATCCCTAGTGCTTATGCACAGTGCCTCGCACACAGTAAGCACTTAATGAATGCTTTCTCTGTCTCTTTATTTCTCTAAGCCAAAACCTCTTAGCCAGTAGATACTACATAAAAATAACAGTGTGAATCCCTCACCTTCACCTCTGCTGAAACATCACTTTTCCTTGTCCTCTTCATGATTTCATCTATTCTCTGGAAAGCAAAGGGAATCAAATAAGAGACCCAGCATCAGAAAAGTACAAGTAACGTGGAAAGGATGAAACCTGACATAATTCAGAGAATGGATGTTCTCAGAGTCCACGGAGGAGAGAGGGCTCTCAAGTTCTACTGTGAATCTGTACTTTTAACCCTATATTTAACAGGAAAAGAGCCAAACATTTGAAAGCTCATACATCTGCATAGCATTACAAGTTTTTTCATTTTATTTTACTTTTTATTCTGAACTTAGCAAACACCAAACAAAATAAGCATTTCTATATACATCGTAGAACCGAAGAAGAGAACTGTATATGAAACTCAAAGCCTCTTAATTTGCTTTATCTGCTTTATCTGTTTAAGTTGCATAGCATTTTCTTCACAATAACCCTATGAGAAAAGGATATAAAATCTATACTATCTGCTTGTGAAGAAACTGGAATCTCAGAAAGGTATAGTGACATGTTCATGACCACATTGTTACCAACTGCCACAGCTAGAAACTGAACCCACATCTTCTGACTAAATCCAGTATTCCAAGTCCAAATGTTCTGGTTCTGAGACCTTTCTACACCATCTTGTCTCTAAACATTAACATCTGAGAAACAGGCTACCCCCCTTCCCTAGCGTCAAAGACTTTTCGTTTATGACCAACCAGTTTTTGAAAAACCTCTTTAGACTGGTATGTACCCACCAATCAGAGCCAGCCCACTGAGGCAAGACAAACCTTTAGAATTGCTTTCTCTATCTCTCTTTATTTCTCTTTCCTTTGTGCCCTCCAAGCCAAAACCTCTTAGCCAACAAATACCAGGGGAGTGGGCACAGGTGCCTAGAAACAGGTAAAGAGACCAGGAATCCCCCAGCTCCTGGGCAGAAGCCGGACCAGGACCTGAGAAAGCTGCTCAAGAGAGAACCTGTGCCCTTTAGAAAGACAGCCCCCTTTCTCCTGCTTCTCTTCTAATGGGCGGCTCACCTGGTCCTTCCCCATCCCTTCACCTTACCTTCTTTCGCACCAGTCTTTCCTGCTCTATCTGCAGCATGATCTGTTCTCGTTCTAGACGCAGCTGTTGAGCTGCTTCCCGGGCCTTAGCTTCCGCCTCTTCTTTCTAATAAAAAGATGTGGAAGGACAGATTATTTGTGCTTAGAAGTCAAAACTCTGAGGAATTCTCATAATTTTCTATTCTTTTCCCTTCCTTATGGCCATGGTGACCCAAGCTGGGCACAACTACAATTGGGGAAAGTGAAAGCCATAATATCTAGACTTTGGTTTTACACAATCTTAGAAACCTCATCTTATTTATCTTTATATCAGTCTAAGCATAGTGCTTTGCATACAGAAGAACTTTAAAATATTTGGTGAATGAATGATATTTTGTGAAATGTATTTAATGTTTAACCAGTGAAGTAACATACATTTCAGGGTGAGAGATATTTGGAAATGTACAATTATAATTTCTGTTTGCAATCTAATGTTAACATCCCTATCCCTAGTGTCAGACTTGTTTGTTGATAAATTATTTTTGACCAATAATTTTTTATGGGTTGGACATGATGTGCTCTACCACGGTCAGACCATATTGTGGCAGGGGTAGTGGTCCTTCTGTTCCTCATATCACATTTTAAGAGTGATATAGAAAAGCTAAAGCATGTTCAGAAGGGGAGCTTGGTGAGAAGGTAAAACTATTTAACATGAGAAACATCGCTTAGAGGAGAAAAGTGATGGTGAAGGAAGTAGGACTGTCTCCATGTTCAAGTATCACTGCATTCAAATATCTGAAGGGCTATCATGAAGAAGAATTCATTTTCTACATGGCTCTGGAGCATGAAATTAGGACTGATGGATGGAAGATGCAGAAGGGGTGAGTAAAGTACATGTTAAGAAAGAAATGACAATTACAACTGTAAAATAAAAAAAAAGGCTGCTTTGGTAGGCAGCAAGTCCCCTGTCATGGAGGGATTCTAGAAAAGGCCGGACTGACCATCTTTGAGGGGATACTGCACAACAGATGCATGCATGTTTTCTGGAAAAATGAACTACGTTCAACAGTTCCTTGACAATTCCTAGCTATGTCACCCTGGGCAAGCCACCTAACCAACCTCTGTTTGCCTCAGTTTACTAAACTATAAAATGGGGAACCAAAATAGCACCTACTACCCAGGGTTTGCTATGGGATCAAATGAGATCACATTTGTAAAAAAAAAAATTGCTTAACACAGTGCCTGACACATTGTTCAGTCATTTTTCAGTTGTGTGCAACTCTCTCGTTACCCCATTGGGGGTTTTCTTGATGAAGATACTGGAGTGGTTTGCCACTTCCTTCTCTAGCTCATTTTACAGATAAGGAAACTGAGGCAAACAGGGTTAAGTAACTTACCCAGGGTCACACAACTAGTAAGTGTGTGAGGTCAGATTTGAACTCAGGAAGATGAGTATTTCTGACTCTGTCCATTACACCACCCATTGCCCCTACCTGGCACATAGCAGGTGCTTTTAATAAATGCACGCTCCTTCCCTTCCCTTCCACAGAGGACACATATTGTACCTGCTTTTCAATTCTGGCTCTTTCTTGCTGTTCTCTCTCTTGCTTTTCTTTTTCTTGCTGCTCTCTTAAAAGTTGTTCTTTTATAGCTTTCCTCTGGGCTTCCTCTTTTGCTTTTCTGTTCTCTTCTTCTTGTCTTTGCTTTCTTTCTTCTTCCCTCTTACGGTCTTCTTGTTCTTGGAGAATCCTGTCTTGTTCTGCCTTTCTTTCCAGTTCTTCCCTCTGTAGCCTTTAATGAAAAAATCACACATTCAAAAGGAAAAGTTGTAAGAAGTCCTAATGAACACTGTCCACAGAGTAATGATACCAAATAATAATAATAATAATAATAATAATAATAATAATAATAATAATAATAGTAGCTAATATTTATATGATGCTTATGTGCTAGGTTCTCTGCTAAGCGCATTGCAAACATTATCATTTTGATCCTCACAAAAACTCTGGAAGTAGGTGCTATTTTTATTTCTATTTTACAAATAAGGAAACTGAGGCAAACAGGTTGAGTGCCATGTCTAGACGTCACAAGCCAGTAAGTATCTGAGACTGGATTTGAACTCAGCTCTTCCTAAGTTTAGGCCTGGCGCTTCAAAGACAATCCCTTCAAACTGCTCCTAAACGTATGCATTTTATATGCATAGCTACTAACACAGATTCATGACTTGGGCTTAAAAGTTTAAAAGACTAGGTGTCCAGGCTCTAAATTACCTGAATTTCCAAAAAACCCAAACACATTAAACAAAGCCAATTTTTAATTCAGTTACGTGCGTAGTAATGATAATACAATGACTTGTCAAATTACAAGTTATAAATCTCAATGCCCTAAATAATAGCAATTAAAAAGCAGAGTCCATCACTCTTGTCTCATAACAAGTCTCAGCAACAGGAATGAGAATTCAAAAGTTTAGAAAGGACAAGTGTGTCAGTAGCCACGCAGATGCTACTCAATGATTTCAGAGCAACTGAGGGGCCTACACAGGTATGCTTTGGTTGGAAGTGAAACTTCAAAGGCAGAGGACAAATGGAAGGAAACTTCAAAGGACCCTTCTGGATTTAATTATTTAAAAATCAATAGTACTGATTTTCAATTTAATATTTAATACTGTTAAAAATAATTATTTTGCCTTTCATCTTATACAGATGAAACAGTTCGCAGCAATATCTAGGTATCTTCCTTACATAAATAAAGCAGTGGTGAAAGGGGGAGGAAGAGAAGGAGGAGAAACTTTGTACTTAAAAGGGGTCTTCTTATTTGGTGATGTTACAAGGAGCACTGGATTTGAAATCAGAAGTCACTGGTGCAGTGTCTGCCACACAGCAAGCACTTCATAGATGCTGACTATGTCCTAGCTTTATTAGCTAGTGAAACTTTGGGTAATTCACTGAATCTTATTGTATCTGTTTATTATCTATAAAAACAAGGGTAATAATATTGGCAACTGCCTCCTTTCAAGGAGGGCAAAGGAGGGGAGGGAAGCCCTTTGTGAAACAGAAGTGTAAGCTATTATCAACATACAGAGTTTTCCAATGGTCTTAATGTAGTTAAAGTTTAAAACTGCACTAAAGACTTCTGTAACACTCTGGGTTTTATATTACTAATTTATATTTATAATTAAGCTTTAATAGCTTAAAACTGCACTAAGACTTTTGGGACACAATGTATTTCTAATTGATTTCTATTTGAAGACAAACATGATTCAAGATATTTGATAAAAAAATGCTACAGTAAACACCTCCAAATTCTCTTAAAATGATCTATAAATACATATTCTCTTTCTCTCTGTCCCCCCCCACACCTCTTTCTCTTTCCCATTCTTCTTCTCACCTCCTCTTCTTTCCCTTCTTTCACTCCTTTCTCTCTCTTCTTCCTCCTCTTCTCTTTCCCCCTCTTACTCCTCTTTCCCTTTCTTCCTCCTTCCTCTATCTCTTTCCCCCTCTCACTGTTCTTTCTCTCTTTCTTCCTCTCTCCTCTTTTTCCTTCTCTCCCCCCTTCTTCCTCCTTCTTCCCTCCTTCTCTCTCTGTCTCTCACATCTGTGTTTCTTTCTCTCTGCACCTCTCTCTACAAGACAAGCACATGTCCAAAAATTGGGTACAACTATTACAATACTTATGCTTTCCTTCTAATAAACTCAGGTCACTCTTGAGATGAGAGCCTGGGCAAGCCACTAAAAATATGTGGACAAGACCTTTGAGCTCTGTGTACCTCACTTTCCTCCTGTGTACAAAATGGGGATCCTACTATGTGGACTGCCTCCCTCTGAAAGGGCCATTGTGAGGGAAAAGTGTTTTGCACACTTAAAAGTGTCAGAGAAAAGTGAGCCATCTCCTTCTATTAAAAATATCATCCAGAAACGAAGGGCCGGAGCCCCTCTCTGCTGCTGAGTCTCCCTTCTAGGTGGGGGTGCATGTAGAATACCTCTCTTGCTCTTCCCTCTCCTGCCTTTCTTGTTCTTCTTGCTCTTTTTGCAGACGAACCTGCCTCCTCTTCTCTGCCAGGATTTTGGAGGCTTCTTCTGCATCCGTTGTTCCTGCAGTGAACTTCCCTGATGGTGCATGAAAGGGTTAGAAAATTAAAGAGTACAGAGGCAGGTAAATTGGCAGAACAACCCCAATGATCCACACCAGCACAATATTCAAGGATACGGATGAGCTGGGAAACAAGCTCTACAACTCTGGCAGCGTTTCACTGGGGAAGCCTGGGAAGAGGCAACTAGGAGAGACAGTGAATGAGAGCCTGTTGGACTTTGAGTCTTGAGAATCTCCCTAAAGGAGGGGCAGCTGGGAGGCACAGAATAGAACCCTGGTGTCAGGAGGATCCGAGTTAGAATCTGGCCTCAGACACTGGACATTTACTAACTGTGTGACCCTGGGCAAGTCATTTAATCCCACTGCCTTGAGAAAGGAAGGAAGGAAGGAAGGAAGGAAGGAAGGAAGGAAGGAAGGAAGGAAGGAAGGAAGGTAGGAAGGAAGGAAGGAAGCAAAGACCTGAAGTCTTCCTAAAGACCTGAGTTTGAATCTTGACTCAGACATTTACTAACTGTGCATGACTCTGGATAAAGTTACTTAAAACTCTCTCAGCCCCTCCTCCCCCTACTACTTTGTAAAATAAGGATAACAGCACCTACCTTTCTCAGAATCAAATGAGATAACATGTAAAACACTTTGTAAGCCTTAAAACTCTATATAAATGCTAGCTAATATTAACATTGGGGGGATCTAGGTGATGCAGTAGATAGAATGCCCCTGGACCTAGAGTCAGGAAGAGTCATCATCTTCCTAAGTTCAACACTGGCCTCAGACATTACTAGCTGTGTGACTCTGGGCAAGTCATTAACCCTGTTTGCCTCGGTTCCCTCACCTGTAAGACAAGCTGGAGAAGGAAATGGCAAACCACTCCACTATCTTTGCCAAGAAAACTGCAAATGGGGTCATGGTAGAATCAGACACAACTAATCAACACAATTACTAATATTATTATTAAAAAACACAAAAACAAGAACAGGCCTCAAAAGCAATCCCTGCTTGCTTTCTTATTTAAGGAACACAGGTTGAGGATTAAGGTGAAACCAATTTTTTTTTTTTTTGCTAAGAACTACAAATTGGCCATGTCTAGCCTATCTTGCTCAGCACATCTAGGAACCTCTCCAAAGCCATTAGCCAAGTCAGTCTGTTCGTCTCCAACTCTGGCCATTCCCCTCGGGGAGATGAGTAAGAGAATTCAACAGAGAAACAAAATGATTTGAAAAGTGGTATTAGAAAAGTCATTCTTCCCCAAGAAATGCCTCCCCCTCCCCAACTTCCTCTTCCTCACAGCAGAAGCCAATGCTTTCCTTAACCAAGCAGGCTGATTTTATGGTCAATTACAGACCTCTCCTCCCACCTCCAACCCCACCCTCTGAGACCAAATACCTCTATGCTGGCTTTATCAAGGAGGCTTACCTTCACTAATGTCCGTCTTTCCTGACCCAGGGCTGTGTTTCTCCGCAAGATGCTTCTCACCCATCTGATCCCCGTGAGCTCCATGTGCTTTCTGACTCAAAGCCCCTTCCTTTTCCTTGTTTGCTTTCTCCTTGTCTGCTTTCTTCTTTGGAGTCTCTTGGTTGGGAGAATGGGGGCTGCGGTATTTGACGGGTGATCCTTGATATGGTTTGGTATTCTTTGGAGACTGTGGGTATTTTGAAGGTGTTCTACAAAACAAAAACATAGGAGTGAATTCCTGGGCCTCAGGCAGATTTCGTTTTTTCTGTCTCTCCTCAAACTCTTCATACCTCAATATACTTGTGAGATAAGAATTTCAAATTCAAATTGGCATTTTTAGGGAGAAAACTTAAATTTCTACCATAAACTTTAAAATGAAGAAAAATGTTCAGGAAAAGATATTGGCATCTTCTGGGAGTCAGAATGACACAGGGAGAAGGATATTGGAGTTGGGACCGGTGTTCCAATTTCACCTCTGAGGCTCCCTCTACAGGGGTGGGGAACCTGCAGCCTGGAGGCCCTTGAGGGGATAATACAAAATAAAAAATAATATCCCCTTTTATTAAGGGGATTTGTTCTGTGAAGTTTGGATTCAGTCAAAGGGCCACACTTGAGGACCTAGAGGGCCACATGTGGCATTGAGGCCGCAGGTTTCCTGCCCCTGCTCTAAGACCTTGGACAAGTGGCTGATCCGGCTTGAATTCTATACAACCTTTTTTTAGCCCCATCAAATTATTTAACCTGTGTGGTGGGGTGGATGTGCACCAAATGGTTCCTCTAGGGAGACACTGTGTTATAGTGGAAAAGGTGCTGGGTTTGGAATCAGAAGAGCCGAGTTCAAATTCAGGGTTTTGCCATTACTACTTGTGTAATCTTAGGCCAATCAGTTACCTCTTTGGGCCACAGTTTCCTCATCTATAAAATGATATGGGGGTGGGGGTGCTGGACTATGGAGTCCCTTTCAACTTGATGGGCCTATGATCCCTTGATTCTTTTCCCTAAACCCATAGAAGAATCTGGCCCAATTATGTGATTAAAGATAATAGAGTATAGTGATATGAACACTGTATTTAGAAGCAAAGGACTCGAGCTCTCATTGAAGCTTTGCTACTTACTAAGTGTATGCAATGACTTCTCTGAGACTCGGCTTCCTCATCTGTCAAGGGAAAGGGTCGAACTAGATAGTTTCTCTTTCTTTTTTATTTTTTTGTGAGGCAATCAGGGTTAAGTGACTTGCCCAGGGTCACACAGCTAGTAAGAGTCAAGTGTCTGAGGCCACATTTGAACTCAGGTCCTCCTGACTCCAAGGCCGGAGCTTTATCCACTACACCATCTAGCTGCCCTGAACTAGATAATTTCTAAGGTCTAGTCTAGCAAAGAAGCCTTTGTTCCAATGAGTACTTATTACACATTTTTATTGCTATCTTTTGTTTTGACATAATTTCAATTTCCCTGAGCATCCCTCCTTCCTCTCCCATTCTCCAAGACAGCCATCTCATATAACAAAGAATTTGTATTTATGCTTTTCAATTATGTTTATGTCCATTACCTCATGTGCTCCTTAAAACAAAATCTTACAAGGAAACTAGGGCAAGTAGTATTCCCATTTTATAGATAAGGAAACTAAGGACCAGAAAGGTTAATCGGCTTGCTCAAAGACACAATTAAATTGCAGAGAAAGGTCTAGAATCTGAGACTCTTGATTGTCAATATTTTTCCATCTTATCACATTGTTCCATTCCCCTGGCCCATCACCAATAAATAAATATATGAAAAATTAAAGGATAACTAACTAAATGAATGGATTGATGAATGAATGACTGAATAAATAAGTACAGCATCTATATATGAGGAAAACTATAAGGAAGAGACAGGGAGAGAAGGCAATGAGCATTCATTAAGCACCCATTATGTACCAGGCTCTAACAAAGATTAAAGAATTTGAACCTCACAAACTATACTTTGGGAAGTAGATGCTATTATTATCCCCATTTTACAGTTGAGGAAGTTGAGGCAGGCAGAAGTTAAGTGGCTTGCCTAGGGTCAAACAGTAAGAAAGTGTCTGAGACTAGATTTGAACTCAGGTTTTTCTGACTCCAGGCCCAGAGCTCTATCCACTGTGCCACATAGCTTGCCAAGAGCATGAATTCAGGTGAAAGGGAAAGCATAGTCTCATGCTCCTGGAACCACAAATGACTTTTTTTCTCTATGGTTTTGAAAGTTAAGAAGCTTTATGCTTTTTTCTGAAGCTATCTGACATTAGTTACTGCCGCCATTGAACTAGACAAGAGATTAATCGTTCTAGAGTATGAATCAGGACAGGTCTTCTCAGGGTTGTTTTAAACCCATCTTTCACGTTTCTCATGAAGCTAGACAATGAAATAGGATTTTATCTTTTTTTTACATACCCCACACACATAGTGTATACTGATTTGAGATGATGAAGAAAAAAAGCATTGCTATGTTTTACCAGGGGCAGCTAGATGGCACAGGAAATAGAACAAAGAGCCTGGAGTCAGGAAGACTCATCTTTCTGAGTTCAATCCAGCCTCAAACACTTATTAGCTTCGTGACCCTGGGCAAGTCCTGTTTGCCTCAGTTTCCTCATATGTCAAATGAGCTGGAGAAGGAAATGGCAAACCACTCCAGGATCTTTGCCAAGAAAATCCCAAATGGGATCACAAAGAGTCAGACATGACTGAAGAACAACTGAACAACCACCACCAGGAAGGTCAGGTACAACATATTAATTCAGATAGGGAAGCGAGCAGGCTGGAAAGAATATCCTTGGATAGCTGTCTGGAGGGCATCTCTATATGGGTGTATAATTGGGAAGGAACAGGAGATACTGCCACTCTCGTTTCATGTGCGTAATCACTCTTTTCTCCAAGATAAATTTCTGATAAGAGTATTATATTAAATCCAATTTTGGATGATAGTGGAGAAGACAACACTCAATTATCTGCAGTGGAAAACTCAGGCACTGTTATAAATATTATTATAGATGCCAGATCAGGACAAGGTTGTGACAATCTGGAAGGCTCTTGTATTGGAATGCCATTATGATCTTCACTCACCCAGAGAATGCGCTATAGGACTCTTAACCTGTGGTCTGTGAACTTAAAAATAAAATATGTGTATGTGTGTGTGTGTATATATGTGTGTATATATATGTATATATATACACACATATATATACACACACACACATATATATACATGTATCTATATCTATAGAAATAGAGATATAGGTATGTGTGTATACATACATATACATACATATATATATATAATTGTATTTCAATATAACTAATTTCCTTAGCAATCCTATGAATTTCATTTTATATATTTATAAAAATTGTTTTCCTGAGAAGGGAAGCATAGGCTTTGTTTGACTACTAAAGGAATTCATAACTCAAAAAAAAGCTTAAGAATCCCTAGTTTTAAAGGAACCCAGTGTGATTCAGCAGCTCTGAATGAGTCACAGATGGCTCCCCTAGCCTATTCCTTCCATGATGCAAAACACATCTAAGCTCTGGAGGTGACTTCAGTTTTCGTTGTTCCTCTTGTGGGATATCTGTTTCATTTCCAATGTACTAAAAGGCAACACTCAACCAGATTCCTAAATAAAAACATTAAAGTCAGCTAGGAGAGATATCTGGGAATGCTTATACAAGAAAAATGACTTTTATGATTGTCATTCTTTTAACAAGCATTGGACTATTTCAGATGGAAGGTTGTGGGGTCCTATAAAGACTCAGAGACAAAGGGAGAGTTGATAGAACTATTTATGGACACTTGTTATCTTCTCTCTGGGACATGGGCTATAGCTAGGTATCTGATCTTTGGTCTGAGGTATGTTTCTGAAACTATTTACCTGAAACCTGGATGGTATCTGACAGAAGACATATAACCAAAGAGCAACCTCCTGATATTATGGGCAAGAAAGAGAATAATACACTTATAGGTTTTTGAGATCAAATGAGAACAAATCATTAATTATATGAGGCCTATTCCAACTTTTCTGCTGCTAGCCTATAGAACTGTAGATCTGAGTTTGGAACAGACCTCAAAGGGAAATCTAATCCAAAACTCTCATTTTACAGATGAGGAAAGTGAGGCCCGGGAAAGTTAAGTAACTTGCTCAAGGTCACACAGGTACATCTGTCAGAGGTGGGATCTGGACTCAGGTTTTCTGATTCTGGAACCAGTCCTCTTTCTACTCTCCCAGACTGCCTGACCCTTTACTTAGGCTTTCTTTTAATCTCCTTTTTTTCTCCCTTCAAAAGTCTTATTGATATATTTTATTTGCACAACAAAGCCATTTCTGGATATACCTTGTCATTCCCTCACCAAATAAACTCTCCTTTGTGACAAAGAAAAACATTTAAGCAAAACTAACTGATACTATATTTGACAGTGTGGACAACATTCCATATCCATAGTCCCCCAGTCTCTACTGAAAGGAGGAAGAGGTGCTTCTATCATTTCTTTTCTGGGGTCAAAGCTGGTTATTACAATTAGCTGGCATTCAATTTCTTAATGTCTCACTGGTTCCATTCTATCTTTTTAGGCTTTTTGAGGGAAAGAAGGAACTAAGCATTTATTAAGCATCTACTACATGCCAGGCACTGTGCAAATCACTTTATAAATATCATCTCATTTGATCCATTTTGTCATCTTTGCCAATTTGATGGGTATGAGGTGAATAGTGAATTTTAATCTGAGTTTGTATTATTTGTAATTTAGAACAATCTTTTATATGCTTTTGATGTTTTTCTGCCTCTTTCCAAAAGCACACAATTGTCCACGCTTTAGAATAAGGCATTTTATTTTTGCAGTCTTTACAATGGGAGGAGTAGCCAGACTGCTCCTGTGGTTTGTTATCTGGCTTGGCAGTTCATTTGGTCATTGTCTTTACACTAAAGCCCTAATACTGCAACGCCTCACAGTGACATGGCCTGGGGACCAGCTTAGCTATGTAGAAAGGCTTGTTATTACCAGGTTGGCTTGATGGTGATGAATTTGTACCCAGGCTTCAGTGAGTCACCAACTCCCTCGAAATTACTATGCAGACACTTCCTAATTTACAGGAACTATATATGCTTTACATACGTGTCTGGTGAGACAGAGCTAATTTTTATGAAACTTAGAAGATGTCTTCAAAACTGTCAACTATCTTAGCAAGCAATCATTTACAATTCTACAGAAATGGAAGACTGAGTATGAAATAGATATCTCTCCTCTTGGCAGAGAAGTGGTAGACTATGGGAACAGAATGTAGATTATGGGCTGTTGCTATTGTTCAGTTGTTTCAGTCATGTCTGACTTTTTTTATTAGCAAAGATAGTGGAGTGGTTTGCCATTTCCTTCTCCAGATCATTTGACAGATGAGGAAACTGAGGCAGATAGGGTTGGGTGACTTGCCCAGGGTCACACAGCTAGTAAGTGGCTGAGGCCTGAATTGAACTCAGGAAGATGAGTCTTCCTGACTCTAGGCCCGATGCTCTATCCACTGGGCCACCTAACTACCCCGATTATGGGCATAGAACCTGAAAGATACTTTGAAATGTTCCTTTTTCTTTAAATTGAAATGAGTTTTAGAGGAGTTAGGATATACAGTATGGCTGTACTTTATTGCCAAGTGACAACTGAGAGAAAACCACTAAAGTATCAATAAAGCATTAAAAAAAAAATATGGAACAAAATGTGATTGTGGGATGTGCTAAGTGCATAATTCTTGGCGAGGCAATGCCAAGTACTACGTGAAACTGAGGGTAATAACAATAAGGCTTCCAACTTTATATCAATCAGTAATAATAAGGTAGCTAGCATTTATATAATGCTTTGAATTTTGCAAACACTTTGCAGCGATGATCTCATTTGATCCCTACAACCACCCTGGGATATAGGTGCAACTATTTGCCTCATTTTGCAGATGAGGAACAAACAGACAGTGGTTAAGTGACTTGCCCTGGATTACACAGCTATGTATAACATGTCTGAGGCAGGATTAGGGCAGATTAGTCAATTTAAAAGAAAAGAGAATGTTGGATCCAGGAAAAACAAACAACATAAGATAAATGGATTGAGCCATTTAAAATAGGAATACCACACCATCAAAATAAAGAACAGAAAACAAACAAGACAGACTCACAGAAGTGCCAGACAAGCAGGCTTCAAGAGAGCTGGTGTAATAAAACATTGCTAAAGGAGAGAGGGGGAGCTGAGATGAATGCAGCGGAGACGTAGGGCCATCCATTTTCCTTTCTGGTAGCAGTTAAAACACTAAATGTTCTACTTAACATATGGACTGATCTGCCACAAGAAACATTTAAAAAAGTAGGAAGACCAATACTACAATTAAATGAGCATTCAGATGCATAGAAAAGATGCATGCAGATCTTAAAATAATATATTTACTATAATAATAATCTTAAAATGTGGAATATTAGAAAAAGTTGAAATTTAAAGAGTCAGAAGACCTGGGTTCGAGCTTTTATGTCTTGCTGTGTTGCAAATGTATCTTGTTCTGGGTCCCCCTGTTTCCCCCCACTGTCCCCGCAAGCTTAGTTAGTATAGTAAGTTTTTAAGTAGCTAGTATAAGGTAACAGTGGTATGAAGTAAGATTGCAAAGGTGAACCTAGAAGTCATTTACAAACTGTCCCATAAATTGAGGCAGCCTGAGTTACTTACAAACGGTCTCATAAATTAGAGGGGGCGAAGGAGACATTGGCAACAGCCTCATAAATTAACTAAAGCCACATCCTGAGACCGTGTGCTAAATTAGGGGAAGTCATCCAGGCCTTAATGTAATAGCCTCCTGGTCCTGTTAACTGCCTTTGGCCTGCAAGCTTCAGATAAACTCTAGATATGCTTGGTAACACCAGCAGAACACCAGCAAAGCATCACACTGCTGAACTAACCCTACGGTGCTGCTGATCACTTTGAGATGTTGTGGATTTGTTAATAAATTAAGTCTAAACTGGCATGCATAGAAGACCATTCCCTACCACCAAAACCTTATAAGAACGGACTCCAAACTTCTGCCCCCAGCACTCCTCCACCTGCTATAATAGGTCCACGCTGCCTGAGCGCTCCCCACTCTGATCCTCAGCTAAGAGATTCTCTGGGCCCCTCCCCTTCACCATTCTTTTCCCCAAAGCTACCTCCCCCACCCCCCAGTTTGCCTCTGTACTACTCTGTGCCTTATTAAAGTGTGATTCAAGCATTACGTCCCACACACTGCCATCACAGTCTTTTCTGGTGAGTATCCAAAGAACAGGGTGTTGTTCTTCCCCCCAAAACCTCCCCACCCTCCTCCCATTCCTTTACTCAGAAACCAGGAGCACCAGGAGAACCCAGCACCAAGAAAGACGCTGTGGATAGCTGCCCCTATTGTGAACGAGCATGGCACAATGAACCTCATGTCCCTTCCTAGGAGATTTCCCCCCTTTATTTGGGTTTCAATAAATCAATTAATAATTCCATAAATTAATTAACAACTTACTTGCTCTGACACTTATCAATCTTGTGACCTCGGGTAAGTCACTGAAACCTTTCTAAGCTGTCATTCTCTCAAGTGTAAAATGGTGATAACAATGCTTGTGACTACTTCACAAACTCACTACAAGAAAGAGACAGAAGTAGTCAAACAATGCACTCTAAACAATGCGACCTACTTTAAGAATTTAGAAACAGGGGATTTTAGAGAGCTGATCAGTAACATACATAGATGCAGCTTACAAAATGGCAAGATTTGTAAAACAAGGAATGCTCAAGACAAATTTTAAAATAGAAATTACTTAACTGGCAGTGAGCCAGTGACTAGGGTTGTTACTTGAACTCACTTAAATAAAAATTTCAATGTTCCTTTAATTTTTTTTTTCCCCACTAGAGATTGACATTCTAGCCAGAGAGGACCTTACGGCTTTTATTGTTGTTCAGCTGTATCAATCTTGTCTGACTCTTAGCGACCCCTTTTGGGGTTTTCATGGCAAAGATACCGGAGTAGTTTGCCGTTTCCTTATCCAGATGTGGAAATTGAGGCAAACATGGTTAAATGACTTGTCCACGGTCACACAGCCAGTAAGTGTCTGAGGTGGGATTTGAACTCAGATCTTCCTGACTCCAGACCTGGCAATCTATGCACTGTGCTACCTACCTCCCCCAAACTTTACGCCTACATCATCCCAAAATCCTCCATGCTCAGTGTATTATTGGTGCTAATTGGCCACATTTGTCCTAACTTTTTGCTAAGAGGCACAGAGAAAACAATGTAATGGACTTTGCCATAAAGGAAGAAAATAAGGGAAAAAGGATAGTGGAAGAGGAGCAATCCTAATGGAAATCTTAATGGAAAAAAATGTATTAAATGATTTAAAAAAAAAAAGGATTTTAAAAAATGGCATCCCAGGGACAGATCAATTCAACCTTGGAAAAAAGAACCCACTTTTATAGGCTGGTAAACATCTTTTACTAGTCCATTTTCTTACATCAGCCATCAAATAAATATATTTTGATCAGACTTCTTTTTCTCTTTGCTCTGTGTCCTTGGTTATTGTCTCAGTTCAAGTGGACACTTAACCATAACCATCCCCTTCCCTCCATTCTCACAGCTCCCAGCCAGCCTAGTTTGTTCATATCACCTCACCTGGACTAGTAAAACAGCATGCTAAGCAGGGTCCCTGCCTCCAGTCTCCCCTTCATTCAGCTGCCAAAATAATTTACTGCAACACAAGTTTGAACGCATCACACAGCACCTACCTACCCCCATCACCTGCCCGATGAACTCCACTGGCTCCCTATTATTTGTAGGATCCAATTTAAAAAAAAAATCAATTTTATATTTAGAGCCCTCTCTGACCTTCCTTCTTCCTACCTTTATTATACTTCACCCCCTTTCACGTACTCTACAACTCAGTTGCACTGACCTACTTTGCTCCTTCTCACCCATAATATTCTGTCTCCCAATTCCACGCATTTGCACTATGTATGCATATGATCCTCTTCCTCTTCACCTCCACTTCTTAGCTTCCCCGGCTTTCTTTAACACTCCGCTCAAAGCCCACCTTTCTGCAGGAGGCTTTTCCTGATCCTTCCCAACCACTAGTGACTTAGAGGTTGCCTTCCATTTATACTGACTATGTCTTGTACATATGTATTTTATTTGTATATTGTCTAGGACATTAGATTGTGAACTCCTTGAGAGTAGGGGTTCGTTTTTTGCCTTTCTTTATATCGCTAGAGCTTAGCACATAGTAGGCACTTAATCAAAGCTTGCTGATGGATCCACCTGGAATAAAAGCTTTCCCACCAATCTGGTTTTTTAACAAGGATGCATTAGAAAAGGTAAAACATTTTTACTTTGATATTGCAGGAGAGGAATGTCTCTTTGCTGGAGAATCAGATCTTCTTAATGGAGATCCAAGGCTGGCTGTGGAAACGGCTGCTGGAGGTCGCTTTTCTTTCTTTCCTTTCTCAGTCTACAGAGGGAGTAAAGAACACGCAAGGTGAAGTACGGTGAGATGTCTCATTTTAGCTACTTTTTAAATATCGTAACTACAACACTTCCAAAAAGATCAATTTACAAGCTTCCAAACTGTAAGCTGTCTAAAGGGCGGCAACTGAATTCAGCCCACTGTACAATGATGGCACAGTGCTCCAAAAGAAGAAAAAGTTTTATATAAAACTTCAGAGCAGATTCACTCCCCACAGGGACCTTGTAAATTTAAGAATATCACAGCTCATTATCAGTCTACAGGGCACAAGGTAGTGAGTGGAAAGTAGTGGGAAAAGAACAATGGATCTGAATCTTTGTGACTGGCGCTCATAGTTCACAGGCCTGGGTTCAAGTCCCATTTACTAGTTATGTAACCTTGGCCAAACCATGGCTTCCTTATGATCACAGTATTTAGAGCTGAAGGGGGTAAGGGGCAGGGTTTATGCATTCCTACCAATCATCTCTTTTAACAGAAGAGGAAACTAAGGTACTGACCAGCCAAAAGTCACATGGTTAGTTAATAATAAGGCTAGGAGTTGAGCCTAGGTCTTCCGATTTCAAATTTGGTAATCTTATTCACTGTAATAAGCAGCCTTTCCATAGTATAATTGCAAAATTATATATATATTCATGTTCATATTTATGATCATATAATCATATTCTTCCCTCACAAAGAGAATAATTCTAAATCGGGAGGAGAGACAAATACACTGACACTTGCTTAGCCATCCAGTAAAAACATGAATTTTCCATCTCTCAATAAAGATTTCTCCATCCCCTGGCAGAGAAGATCAAAGGCCCAACTCGAGTGCCAATTCAATATCAAAGCACCATTTTCAGGAAGACTGATAGTAGGTAGAGCACAAAAATATAAAAAGTCACTGGGAAAAAATTATGGTTGGATGAAAATGCTGTGAATGTAACCTTCAAGAAAGTCAGTCATAAACTCTTCCATAAAATACATAAGAGAATGACAGAGGAGTTGTTATCATTCCCTTGCTCCATAATTACCCACTCCTTAGCCCTTAAAAACAGCCCACACTCCCTCCAAAGACAGCTGTTACCTACCAAGCACCTCCATATCTACTCAGCCCCTCACCAACACATTCCCCCATCAATCTCTATTCTCCATTTTTCTCATACACACAACACACACACACAACCACTATCACCATCATAACCCCATGCCACCCCCACTGCCATCACCACCTCTCTACACAACAAGAATGTAGAAATTTCATTTCTCGTTGGAGAATCTAAAGAAGGTATGGTAGCCTAGGACAATGAGAAAGAATACTGGGCTAGGACTGGTATTCAATACCTCTGCTACTTGCTTGACCTTGGTAAAGTCATATCGCCTCTACGGGCCTCAGTTAAACTGGACAAGTTGCTATTTTTTTAAGGCTTGGTCAGTATAACTGTGATGTTAAATTCTGTATAAGTTCATTTATATTTTATATTTTATTTATTATATATTATATTTATATATATATAATATAATATATTTTATATATATTATATATAATATATATGTTTCATTATACTGCTTTACTGATTTTGCTTATTTCATTCCATTTACATCACCTAAATTTCCGCCTACATCCCTCCCCTCTCCCAAAGAGCCATTCCTATAATGAAGAAATTTTTGTAAAGAATAAAAAAGAGGAAGAAAATAAAATTAAAGATGATCAGCACATTGGAAAAAAATCTGTCTACATATATAATGTTTCACATACGTGAATCCCCTGTCCCCAGCAAAGGAGTGGGGGGAGGTGTTTTCTGATATCTATTATTCAGGACCAAGCTTATTCTTTGTAATTCTGTAACATTCACTTCAACTGTCCTGTAGTCCTTGTTCTTTCCATTTACATTTTGTTGTTGTCATTGTATATGTACTATATGTATGCATATATGTGTGTATACACATACATACACATGCATACATACACATGCGCACACACATATAGGAGTAGCTAGTGGCACAGTGGATAGAATGCCATCAGGACAATCCAGCCTTAGACATTTACTAGCTGTGTGACCCTGGACAACTCATGTAACCCTGTATGCCTCAGTTTCTCATCTGTAAAACAAGCTGGAGAAGAAAATTGGCAAATCACTACAGTATCTTTGTCAAGAAAAGCCCATCATGAAGTTGGACATGACTGAAAAAAAAAAAACCAATGAACACCACAACCGCACATATGATACATGTGTACATGTGTGTATACACATATATACACATACACACATATACGTGCGTTGTGCATCTAAGACCTCTTTTCCAACTCTTACATTCCACCTGTCTGGGCCACTACTAAGCTGAGGAATAGAATTAGGGACTAGCCCTATGAAACTTCCAGATAAGGAAATTGCCCCTTGCCCAGGGTGGGTTGGCACCTTCTCTTCAACTGAAGAGTTGCAGAAAGTTGCTCAGGCCACATGTGGCCCTCTAGGTCCTGTGGCCCTTTGACTGAATCCACTTCACAGAACAAATCCCTTTACTAAAAAGATTTGTTTTGTAAAACTTGGACTCAATCAGAGGGCCACACTTGAGATCCTAGAAGGGCCTTGAGGCCACACGCTCCCCACTCCTGTCATAGACAGTATCATTAAGGGTAAGACTTGAACTCAGGTCTTCTTGGCTTTGAGGTGGGCTCTCTGTCCAACAAACCATGATTTCTGCTAACCTGAAAATAACTGCGATTTTGAAAAACAACTGGTTTCAAAGTTATGTTAAGAGAGTCCTATGACATTTGTAGAACAACAGCACCATGCTATCAAACAGGAAAAAGAAAAAAACTATTTTCTGATTCGGGAGCAAATTCACTGCCCACAGAGACCCTGCAAATGAAGTATGAAAGACAATTACGACTCGGGGAACTGAAACAGAATGAAACATGGGCACTACGGCATCAGAACACAGAAGTCATTAAAACACATGAAACAAAAGAAGACAAAAGTAAGATGCCAAACACAGGCCAAGAGAAATGCCTTGAAAGGTTAGGAGAGAATGTTCTAGAAAGGGGCAACCAGCAATGGAGGAAGAAGGAAAGGAGCTCAGGATGAGATGGGGGTAGAAAAAGAAGAGGCAGATGTATAAGCAACCTTAGATGCTGCTTTAAAAAAAAAAAAGAAAAGGCATAAACAGTAAGGCTCAGGGGAGAAGAAGACAGACTGGCCCCCACTGTGCTGCCATAAGGGACTGGACAGAAATTTCAGTTTCATTGTGCTGCAGACTTTAGTTTTATAGTAACTAAATAATAATAACAATAATAATAATAATAATAATCACAGTCACTATAACAGTATGTGCCATTTATCCAGTTCTTTAAGGATTACAAAAGCACCTGAGCAATAGTATCTCACTTCAGTCTCACAATCTGGTGACGTAGGCATTAGAGACAATAGTATCTCAATTTTATAGATAGGGAAAGGGAGGCTTAGACAGATTAAGTGACTTTGCCTATTGTCACAGAGCTATTACACAGCAGGACGGATATGACCCGAGGTCTTCTGAGCTCAGTACTTTATCCATTATATATTCCTCCACTTGTTAAAACGTTCATAGCAAATAATATTATGAGGTGTGCTAGAGAATATTCAGACAGCTAGGTGGTGTAGTAGATAGAGCACTGGGTCTGGAGTCAGAAAGACCTGAGTTCAAATCCAGACTCAGACACTAGCTGTGTGACCTTGGGTAACACTATTTGCTTCAGTTTCCTCATCTGTCAAACGAGCTGGAGAAGGAAATGGTAAACTACTCTAGTATCTCTGCCAAGAAAACCCCAAATGGGGTCACAGAGTCAGACATGACTGAACAACAACAAAAGAATATTCAAAGAGTGTATGGTTATGTGCACAACAACCAATGATTACAGAGGACATATTCAATGCATTTCTATAACGCGAAAGCAATTTGCCCTCTTCCCCTTCTCTATCCCCCCTCTTCTATGAATGGTGATGGCTCGGAGTAAGAACTAATCCCCCTTCTACCAAAACTGACCCCCTAAGACTCTGATCACCAGCACCGAGCTTAAGAGGTGAAGAGAAGGGGGGTGGGAGTGCAGGTAGAGATGAAAAGGAGGGAATGTATCAAACTACAAACCATTGATTACTAAACTACTAATTACAAACTAATCCAACGTTAGGCTGCTTAGATGTGGTACAACTGTGAAGCAACATAGGTGCACCCTCTATTTCCAGCTAGAGTGCATGCCTTCACAGGTAGGTCCCACAGCAGCCTTCCCCCCTGCTTATCACCTCCAACTGTCCTTGCATTGTAGAGTTGTGTCTGATCCTTTGTGACCCCATGGACCCGTCCATGGAGTTTTCTTGGCAAAGATGCTGGAGTGGTCTGCCATTTTGTTCTCCAGTATGTCCCCATTTAACATACGAGGAACTGAGGCAAACAGAGGTTAAGTGACTTGCCAGGGTCACAAAAATATTAAGTGTCTAGAGGCCAGATATGAACTCAGATCTTTCTGACTCCAGGATCACTGCTCTACCCACTGCACCACCTAGCTGCCTACATCATCCCATACTATCTACCGAAAAGCTATGCACATTGTAGGCACTCGATAGGTGTCTTATGGGTCAAGAAGGATGGTGGGACAGAATCTCTGATTCTCATTTTCAATGCCTGAGAACTTTTTATGGCTTGTAGTTTTTCAAATACTCAGTTTACTTTTCACCTGAGGGTATACATCCTTCCCTAACTTTTCATTATAAATTTATTTTTAGAACCTGGAGCCTATACCAGGGTCCAATAAAATATAGCCACATAGCTCTGGATTTCTGGTGCTGAAAGCCTACTGAGGGTGTCTTAAAAAGAGACACAGAATTTCTCACAAAATATTTCTGACTGTCAGAAGTGGCATAATGATGATGATAAATATGGCACCTTGAAGTTTTTACAAAGTGCTTCACACACTATCTCATTTGACCTTCACAACAACTCTCTGAACAAGTATTAATATTACCTCCATTTTATAGAAGAGAAAAAAATATGGCTGAAAAGAGGCTAAATGACTCTCCCAGAGTCACCCACTAAGTCAGAGAGGGGCAGTGTATTTAAACTCACCAACTCCATGTCGAGCATTCTATTGCCACTATAACACCTAGCTGCCTCTCAGATAAATGGAATATTAAGGGGTCAAACTGCACCTTTGAGCAGTGGAAAGAATGCTTTATTTGAAGCCACAAGACCCGAGTTCTAATTCTCAGTCTGTTACTAATTCACTTAACCTTTCTTGGTGCCTTCATCTGTAAAACAGGAGGGCCTGACTAGATCAGAAGTGTCAAACTCATAGACCACATGTTGCCAGAACTCCTCCAGATTAAAATGTAACTGGGAAAGTTTTCACAAAATAGAGAAAAACAGAATACAACATAAATAATGTTAATGTGTTTTTTTTTCTAAGTTACTATACAAAGCAGGGATGTACTTCTATTTCAGTTGGACAGTGCTGAACTAGATAAACTCTTAGGTCTCTTCCACTTTCAGGAACTTTGTGCAAATAAGGCTCTGTTGCCCACAATTCCTAAAGACTGACCACCCAGACCCAGCCTCGGGAAGCAGCTCCAGCATGTGCTGGACAAAAATGATTGCTGACAGAATCAGATGCCATCTGAGCCATCCCTAGGAGGTTCTAAAGTCTCTAAACATCCACAAGACATACCAAGGTCACACAGTTAGTAAGTCACATTCAAACTCAGGTTTTCTTGACCCCAAATGTAGTAGTGGATAGAGTGCTTCTGTCTGCTTCAAGGATAAACAGAAGACTACAGGAAGTCAACTTATACTTTGGTTCACTAATAATAACAGCAGTTAGCATTTATAGGATGTTATATTTTAAAGGTTTGAAAAGTGCTTTATAAATATCTCATTTGATCCTCCCTACAACCCTAGGAGAAGGGTGCTGCTATTATCCTCATTTCACAGATGAGAAAACTGAGGCAGACAGAGGTCAAGAGACTTGCCCTAGTGTCTCACAGCTTGAGCTCAGTTCTTCCTGACTCTAGGTCCGGCACTTTATCCACTGTACCATCTAGCTGTCTCAGTAGAAAGAATACTCTCTGTAGAGGTGATAAACTGAAATCTATTTGGTTATTATGTGTACTATCAGGGCAGCTAGGTGGTGCTCAGAGTGCACCAGAGCACCAGCTCTAAAGTCAGGAGGATCTGAGTTCAAATGCAGCCTCAGACACTTACTAGCTGTGTGACCTTAGGCTAGTCACTTAACCCCAACTGCTTCCCAAAACAACAAAAGCAATTACAGTTGGTCCAGAACTAAAAATCAAACTTGAAGGAATCTAGAGAAGACTTCAGTGCTGCTCACCCTGGCACCAGCTTTGAAAAGTTCATCATTTCATGAAACTCTCATTAAAAATACTGTTTAGAATAAAATGGATGGTTTCTTCTTAAATGCAGCAAAACATTTTAAATTGGTTTAAAGTCAGAGATGGCAAATCTTCCTGAGAGTCACCAAGGCTTGCTTTAAAACCTACCTGTTCAGACGAAACTGCTCCTTTCGGGGCATCCCCAGTCCCGCAGGACGCCATCTTCCTTCTCTCTGGGATTCGGGCAGGAGGCGCCTTGTAGGGAGATTTAAAAGGACTCCCTGGGGCTATACGAGGACAGACAGGAAAGACTGCAGAGTTATATAGTCCAATAGTCAAAGCAATAGGAAGAAGAGACAGAAGAAGAAGGAGGGAAGGAAAAATTGCACAACTCCATTATAACAGGGCACATGGCAAATAGCAATCTTACAGGTTAGCTCATGGTCTCATACTCAAGGGACCCCTAAAGCCCATAATATCAGCAGCTTATATGGAATCACCATCATTCCACTTTTAATAGATACATGGATAAAAAATAAAATCTTTTAGAGGTTCTTTTCTTAAATTAAATCCCCACTGAATTTCGTGATGAAAAAAAATTCTGAAAATATTTTTGGAGGCAACAGTGTTTTGAAAGTAAGAAGGATATATGGAAATAGGTTTTACATGATTGCTCATATATAACCCATATCAGAATGCTTACTGTCTTAGAGAGGGAGGAGGGAAGGGATGGAGGGAGAAAATCTGGAACTCTAAATTTTTAAAAAAAAGGGAAGAAAGTAAGTCGTTGGTTCAAATCTTAGCCATGCCACTTGCTACTAGTGTGGCCTTGAGGGAATTACTTGACTTTACTGGGCCTCAGTTTCCTCATTTGTAAAATGAAGACGGGTTGGATTAGATGGCCTTTCCAATTGTAACTCTATGTCTCAAAAAGTGTTGGGTTCCTCCACTTTGCACTCAGAGGCCTCCCTTAGAGAAACATGGACATAATTCACTAAATATTCAAAGGAAGTGTATAAAAAAAACTGAAGTAAAATTTGGTTGTGGGACCCAATAGCCAAGTGTCTTATAACCTTCACAGAGGATAAAATGATTTTTTTTTTGGCTGTTGTCATGTCTGACTCTGTGACAGATCAGTTAAACTAAATTTTAAGCCATAATTACTAAAGAGTTTAAGACAACCTATTTTCATAGCTGCATTAACTAATTAACAAGGTTACCTACACAGTGACATTTAACCTTTCCATTCTACCCAGACAGGCAACTGCACTCTCATGGCATTATCAAATAACCATAAGCGCGTTAAACGGTTTTAGTAGACGATGTTCAAAAAGAAAGTTGAAGCTTTTTTTAAAAGCAGGGATAAGAAACCCCCCAAATTAACCCTCTTCCGTATTAAGCATTCAAAACAAATAGAACACCCTCTTCTAAGCTTTCCGACATCAATGTAATCAATTCAAGCTCTACTTCTTGCCGGCTGCTCCTTTTTCCCAATGCATAAAAATTTTAAACACTACCTAATAACACTCTCATGACTTTACCAATTATTTATTTATCTATGGCCAATAGCATATTTATTTACAGGATCAGAAATTTTAGTAACTTTACTTTCATTTTTTCTTTCATTATAAATTTTTTTTTTGCATAAAATAGTATGATATCCTAGTAATCTGTAGGACAGCTTGATTTTTTATATTTAATTGGGAAGTTGAAGAAGGGTTACTACCACATAAGTGGCACAGACTGAACCCCGGGGGGTAAATGGATTCAGGCTTGTGCGAAGTTAGTATCTTTAGTGGTAATTCAGAACTAGGGCTGGGGTTTCCATCTCAATTCTAAATTGGTGAATCAGTTATGATCATGTTGAAGATTTTCCTCAAGAGACAAAATTGTTAATGTAACTATTTTGAAGAAATTGTCCCCAACTAAGTTTGCAGGCCATTATCTGATTGAATTGAATGTCTATTTCGTTATTGTTCATGGCACTGGTCATTTATGAATAATTAATGAGAACTCCAATTATGGATTATCTTTATATTTCATGATGATATTCCCTGATACACAAAGACCTACATGTTGAGTTGACTCTCTTAAGTAACAATCATCTCACATCTATGTTTGTTCCTATTATCTAAATCTGAAATGGATGATGTGCTGGTAGTGGTGGTAGGGTGGTCCAATCCAGATTCTGCAGCGGACCGTCATCTCTAGGTTAGCTTCCCTTTGTATCTCTACTATTTTGCCCAGTAGGTGCTTAATAAATGCTTGTTGATTAATTAGGTGTCCTTAAGCTTAAAAGGCATACATTTACTTGGAACACTTAATACAGAGGGTTTATTTTTATTTTTAATACAGGTTTATTTTAATTTACTCTAATCCTTCTAAAGAAATGTGGTTACAACAAAAGTTAGTAGGAAAAGAAATATTGGAATTAGCCACATTGTATAAAACTAGGAAATGAGGAGAAGAAAGCAGAAATCCACCATTAAATGAAACACTTCAATCCCTTTCCAGCATTTTCTGCAGCTTCTAGCTGCAACTTTCATACCTTAATAGTCAAAACCCTTCAGCCTATTTTACCTGAATCAATGGACTGTTCAGAAAGCATGAGTGTGCTTCGGTTTCTGGCTAGGGAAGACTGTGTGGGGGTCAACAGTCGCATAACAATAAAGTTTTCCATTGGACTAAGGTGCATGCGGTGGGCTGAAGGATGGAAGCAAATAAAATGAAAAACATATATATGTATACACACATATGCGCAAAATTTTTTAAAAAAGCAATGTTGAAAAAACACAATGGGTACTGTGCAAAAGGGATGTTTCTGGAAACACAAAACAATTTGAAAAAGCAATTTAAAGCTCCTGAAGATCAGGTATTTAGTGGACTTCTTGATATTTATAAATACACACTGCAGTAAAATATTTCATAACTTACAAAATAAACAATTATATATTACACAAAATAGATCTGCTGAGTGAGAAGACTACCCAGTATGGAAAGGTGCATGAACTCTTTTGGGACACTAGAATTTCTGAATAAATTTTTATTACCGAACAACATTTGATCCATATCCCAAAGTGTAACTGAAACAAAAAATTGGCTTTTTTTTTTGCCCAGAAACTCTAACTAATTAATCTAATTAATAAATCCATAAAATGCACAAACATATAGCAATTCCATAAGAGAAAGAGTTTCCATAACTCAATTAAGAAATAATTATTTTGGGGCAGCTAGGTGGGCACAGTGGATAGAGCACCAGCCCTGGAGTCAGGAGGACCTGGGTTCAAATCTGGCTTCAGACACATAATACTCACTTAGCTGCATGACTCTGGGCAAGTCACTTAACCCCAACTGCCTCACCAAAAAAATAAGAAAGAAAAAAATAAGAAAGAAAAAGAAATAATTATTTTATGAGATGTTGAAAAATAATTATGTAAAAGACCTTGACTTATTTTTAAGACAGTGGTTAATGAAAATTACCATCATGCACTTTTCCCATATAAACTGGATTTTAAAAATCATATGGAAATAGAAAATTACCATTATATGACAGTATTAAAATGTAGTGTGTCCTTTCACTTTTCTCATATAAACAGGATTTTTTAAAAATCGTATGGAAATAGAAACTGTCAACTCCCTATTATCTGCTTTAATGGAAGGCAGCAATGTCAATTATTTAAAATACAAATAGTCCAAAAGTAATTTTTATCTGTGGTGTATATAAACACATACATATATCACTTTATTATAGCGAACTGTCTTCTTAATGATACTAATTTCTTAAGACTAATGTGACAATGGCAATATTACAGCAACAAGTTAATTATCCTGGGATTAAAAACCCATGAAGCAGCCATGGGGAGATAGCAAATGATAAAGTATGGATACATTCACATATTAATTCACAGTAAGGAAAACACAGGGTTTTCCCCTAACCTATAACACCAAGTGAATTTTAGCAAACATACAGACCAGGATTTCTAACAGTGGCCATGTGCTTCACATGCTTCAAAAATGTTTTCACCTCCATGTCTTTAATAGTGCCATTTTCAGGTGCCTGCTGCTAACTGCCCTTCAGATCAGCAGTACTGTGTCATACCCAATACCTCCAGCACAGAAGGCCTGCCAGCCAGTAAGGTGCAAGTTGAATTATAAATTCACTGATAAGAAGCATTAGGGGAAGAACATTCCTGGCAAGATGTTATTTGTCCTTTAAAGGGCACAAGTGTTTTCCTTATTTCTCTCCAAGGCATCTTGCATGCTAAATATTCCATCAGAAATGCGACACACAGCAGGTCACACCCTTTGAGACAATGTTGTTGTTTTTTCAAGCATCATCATCAACACAGTGTCATAGGGTTTATTTCTCCCCATCTTATCCTTTAACCTTCATGACCTGAGTGAGTGGTTTTTCAGCTATTTTAGTGATTTATCTGCACCCCCAAGAGAGCTGCCCAACAGCCTGATTGTGGCACAATGCCAAAGTCCTTTAAAACTTTGATTCAAAGCATATCTAAAAATGGCACCGAAGATTCTCTCCCACACATACCAGTAACTAAATTCACCACTGCCAACAACTACTTAAGAGTACCAAAATGCTGCCTTCTTCTAAGTCTTTTTTTCTTAAGTGGTCACATGGTTTCTCTTCCTATTTAATAGGGAGCCTAGCCTACTATCATGGGAAATGGCAGTGGCCCATTTTGTCAGAAGACTATGTTATCTACTCAACTCTAAGTAACATCGACCTTACTGATTTCAGCACTTCAGACTCCTAACACACAATCAGGTAGGAAAATCTTTGTCACTTTTTAAGTTACTTAGTCACATTCCACTTGCTTATAAGTTAATTCCTAGAAATAAGTTAAGCAGATAATAGGAAGAATAGAATGGATTCTGCGACCATAAGAGAAGACCAATTCTTGTTTCCTAGCAGTAAAAAGTAGCTGCCCCATTTCCAAATCAGCTCCTTTCTTCCCAAGGATTAGAGGGTTGACTATGTCATAATGTGACAACAGAGTTATTTGCAAAGGGGAGAGATATGTGTTTTTTTTTTTTGGGGGGGAGGAATGTCTTACAAAAGAGACAGGTTCTAAAAAGGTCTATAACCATCCAAGAGAATATTTAAATGCAGAAAGGGAAGAGGACTGCAGAGAGCCCAAGAGGACATAGTCACTTGCCTTTGTCAGAGGAATACGTAATTGCTGCTGTGGAGGAAGACAGACGCTTACTGATGGGTGACTCCAACTGCTTTGGAAGATTCATGGTAGAAGCTGAAAGTTTGTCACATGCTGCAGAGAGATACATGAAAAAAAACCCAACAAATTTACATTCATACTACGGAGCAAGAAATCAATAAATTTTTTCCCTTCCTACCTCATCTGTGGACCTTTTTTAATAATAGCTCTGAAATAGCCAACTATGAACTTATTACCCTAAAAATCCAATTGTCCTAATTTCAAATATCCAGCCTCTTCAACAATTAACTATTACAGCGAAAGATTTCCTTTTTCCATCTCATCATTTCAATTCTACAAAAACTAAAGTTATGGTAAATCCTCATGGCAGATCATCTTAAGAAAATCAGTATAGCACAGTAGCTAGAGTGGGCCTTGAAATTAGAGACATCTGGGTTCAAGCCCCATATATCTCCATACATAAAAGCTGTGTGACCTTAGGCAAGTCACTTAACCTTTCAGTCCCCCAGGCAATGCTCTGAGACTATAATTTGCTGAAGAGTTGCCAATCTATATTGGTAGAGGGAGGTTCCTCACCAGGAGTTCCCTACACCAGTCAATTCACAAGTTCCAGCCTTCCAAGAGATCAAAAAAGCCTTTTTCATAGCATATTTGGAAACAAACGAAAAACCCACATGGACCAATTATAGTTCTGTTCTAAATTTAACTGCCACTGGGGAAAAAAATCTGTAAAATAAAATGAGCTTCACTCAGCCCAGCAACTGAAAAGACTACCATCCGGCAACTCTCAAGCTTGGAAAATTTAGGTTGTCTTCTACTGTGCTAATGATACTCTTTTAAAAATCAAAGAAATCCTTCAGGAGCAGGCTTCAGAATCCTTTTATCACCAAACAGATAATCCAGAGTGACTTTTAAACATGTGGATCCTGAGTCTTAGCAGTCAAGATTCCCAGGATCTTAATGATGTCCATTAAAACTCTGTGGAAACTAAAACTTCAGTTTGGGTGGTTTCCCATTGGGGAGTTCTGCGTCTCTCCCTACAATAATACATTCTAAGCCTAAGGGCAAAAGTACAGGTGCTGTAATTAACCCTGCCCATCTAAGGAGGCTCCTAGGCAACAAGACTGCTGATGACTCTCTTTAAAAGAGGAGGCAGAGAACTCAAAACTTCTACTTCTGTTCGTGTAATCTGACCATCCGCATTGCTGGTAATTACTGCACCCATTTTTTAAGCCCTTTTTTTTCTCAGCAGCAAGTATACTCCCATTTCTAAAGATACACTTTAAAAAAAAGAAACAAAGGTATGCTAGCTCCATCCCTGTTCTAGACAATACAATCTGTCAGCCCTTTATTTAAAGCAAAATGCCTACCAGACAGATACTGAAACCAAGGACAAACCCAGAATACGAATTTATAGGCTTCCAACAGCATTCCTGTTGATAAGGCTCCCTTGCCATACCTACTGCCAAAGTCTATCCTAGTGACACAAACAGAGCACAGGCACCCCCATTAAGCATTCTATACAAATGAAATGTTCTCTAAATGGAAATAATGACATATAAGTTAACCTAGGCACCTTCTGTAAAGGATACTCAAAAGATGTGCCTAGGACAGGCTCAAACAACATCCACACCAAGTCAACGAATTTACTGAGCTGTCTGAGTCTGGAGTGAGCGGGAGCTAAGTATGAGATGTATTCACCTCAACCAAGGAAAATGTAGGCATGCATTGACATCAGCATGACAAAACAATAGAAGAGTCATAGCTCTGTTAAAAAAAAAAGTTACACAGCATCAGATGAAGATGTACATTTAAAAGGCGTGGTTAAGACAGACAAGGCTGGTGGATGAATTAAAGTGACTGGAAACAGTTATCACAAAACACCATGATACTGTGATACTCTGAAATACCATTGGAGTCATCAGTAGCAGCAGCAGAGGTCACGGGGTCTGGAGGAAGGGTGCTGGCCGCTAAACCTAGAGGAGGGGGTGGGGCATTTTCTGATTCACCTACACAGCAGAAAATCAGAGCAAACAAAGAGAGGAGAAAAATAACCTGATGTTTTTATTTCATCGATGTTGGTTCTTTAAAAAAAAAAGTTTACTGGAGCTATTAGAAAAAGTAAGTGAGACTGCTGGGTTTTTTTTTAATTAAAAAATATGTATATTTTCTATTGGAGTATAACACAAAACAGCATAGCTCAGACAACGCACTGTCAACAGTTAAACATGCCCACTCCAGAAAAGACCTATGTAATGCATCTATAGTTTATTCATAAAAAGAATAGTAACCTTATTATTCAAAGAGACAAGCATTTTAAAATGCAGTCATCTTTCATTTATAGATAAAAGAGCTACCTTTAAAGATGACCAGCTTTATAAAGAAATTAAGACTATGTCTTAGAAACTTGAAAGCTAATACCCACTACATAATGACATAAACCATTTTGCTTTGAAACAAAACTACAAGAGAAACAAAAACAGATGATGAGGGAGAAAAAATCCCTTTATAAACGGCAAATGCTGCTATACATTTTTAATGGCATAGAGTCTGGCACACAGTGGGCACTTAAAAAAAATTTTGTTTGTTGCCTGATGAACCACTAGACCCTAGTCATTAAAAATATCATAGCCTCATGTGTATCAGGCTGAACTGATTTCTCTTGCTTGTAAGATCATTTACTTAAAACATCCTGCTCTCCCTTTTAACAATGATTATCTGTGATCTCTGGCGTATGAGTCATATTAAAAAAAACCAAACAACCTTAAGAACTAGTGCCCCATCTTTCCATATTCAGTATCAACGGCAATTCCAGCAAGTTTAATAACTGCAAAGCTTCCACATTCCAAGTGGGCCCACCAATGGAAAAGACCCCGGCAAGCATGCAGTCAAGCGCCTCGGCTGTTGCTATCGGGGTGGTTTCATTCTGCAGGATCTGCAATGCAGACAAGACAGCCGGCTTCACTCACCATCCCTTTCTGAAGAGCCCGAGCTGGACGCCAGCGCTCCTCCCCAGGACCACCGCTTCTGCTTCTGCTCCAGCTGCTGTGCCCGCTCCAGGGACCGCCGCATCATGGCTTCTAGGCGTTGCTGAGAAGTTGATGTAATAATATATTAGTCAAAAGGTGTGTGTGTGTGTGTGTGTCTGTGTGTGTGTGTGCGCGCGTGTGGGCTGAAGGAGGGGTGAGGTGTTGCTGGGGTGAGGAAGAGAAGATGAAAAACAAAACACCTCTCCTCTGGCCAGCTGTTCTCAATGCTTAAGGAGGGAGAAGAATGGTCTTTTCTTGGCTCATGCAGATGGATATCCCGGAGAGTGGAATCAAAAGGAATCTGTGGCAAAGTACCAACTCAGAGAAACTGTCAGTATTAAAACTACCTACCTCCAAAAAGAGCCCTTTCTTTTGTCTGCAGAACGCTAAGATCAAGAGAAAGGCCTAAGTAAATGGCCCACAGCTTGTATCACCGCCGAACATCTAGTCCCTCTGGGAGGAACTGCCACTGAGCTGCTCTGGCCTTAATTTGTTTAAGAATAATGCTTGACGAGCGTTAACTCCTTCTTGCCTACACCAAACCATCCCCATGCACTGAAGCAGCCCACAGCTGGGGGTAGGTGGGTGAGGATGTCTCTGTGATGCACTCAGATGCAAGAGAGTTCAACTAGTAGAACACCAATCAAGGGCTGGTTCCAGACAAAAACAAACAAACAAATATTCTATTTTGGTTTAGAGGATGCAGACGAAAACATTGCTCGCCCACATTGCTACCACATAGGGAGTTTTTATGACCTTGATAAGAACTTTTACAAGATGAAGAGTGTGAATCCATTCTATAAAGGAGAAAGCTGCTTTACAAACGATCTAAATGGAAAATGACTACTTTCTATTACATTCTGCATGCTATAGTCAGGGGTTAATGTTTTATGCTTCAAAACTGGGCAGACCCATCATCTCTAAGCCCCTACCCCCCCCACCTAGAACACAGCACCCAGAGATAACCGTCCTATTTTTATACAGGGCAAGCAGACAAATTCCACACAAATCCAAACTACCCACCCTATGCAGAGAAGAGAAAACCAAGACACTTCAGAAATGAAAATAAGAAAATAAACCTTTTTTACTCTCAAGTCAAAAATATAGCCATCATGCATCAGAAAAGGATCCCATCCCACTGTTACCTTGGGAAAGCCGAGAGAGAAGAGAGCTCAGTAGCTGGAAGCATTTCCCTTCGTGGCTCATAAAAGCTGCTGCCCTAGTTCTACAAGCCAGCCCTGCCTCCTTCCACAAATGACACTGCAAATACTCAATTCTCTTCCGGTGCCAGGTTTGGGACTGGGGTAAGAGAACAGGTAACTTCGGCAGCTCCGCCACCCCAGACACATGACAAACCAAAGCTGGGCTTTCCAGGAACCGTGCACAATGGGTAAACCAAGCATGACTCTGAAAGTCAGACTAGAAAAATGATATTTCTGTTTTCTTAACTGGAGAGGGAAAAAAAGCCAACAAAATCCTCAAATTATCCTTACTTTAGCTAGGTGTTTCGGATGATAGGACAGCTAGGTGGCGTAGTGCTAGGCCTTGAGTTCAAATCCAGTCTCAGCCATTTACTAGCTGTATGACCCTGGCCAAGTCATTTAACCCTCTTTGCCTCAGTTCCTCATATGGAAAAAGAGCTGGAGGAGGAAATGGCTAACCGTTACTCCAGTATCTTTGCAAAGAAAATCCCAAATGGGGTCACGAAGAGTTGGACATGACTGACATGCGTTCTGCACATCTCCAGCTCTTCCAAGGCTGCTTCTTCCTGAAAGACTGAATGTCTCATAGGACAGGTGATATTTTTTAAAAAAAGGAGAGATGTTTTATCTTTTTGTTCTCTGGTCTGAGCACACTATTACACCCATTAATAACTACTTCATCAGCTTTTGACTTGGGAAGTTAATATTTGGAGATTTCATGACAAAGAGTTGGCAGCCAGAGACTCATTTCCCACGGGGAGGTTACAAAACAAAACACGGACTGGAAACCACCTGACTGAGACAGTCTCAGTAAAAACGTTCAGGCTTTAGGTTGAATTAAGAAACTTCCCTTTCCTTACCATTTTACCCCAGGGACAGCATCCTTGTAGATCAGAGCTGGAGGATGCAGGCAAAGCACTGTGGGAAATCTGCCCCACTGCAGGGTGACTGCAGCCTGTAACACCTGCGTTCAGGAATAAGGGAAGAAGGAGGCGCAGAAGGACCTTCTTCCAGGAATTCGAACATAATACTTAAGATAATGACTGTCAATAACTCTGGGAGAAAAGAATTCCTGGGCTCCATGGCACATGGCTGGCTGCTGGGTATGGTTAGACTCTTTTCACTCTAGAGCACAGAGAGGCAACCCTATGGAGTTATCATAAGCGCAGGGGATGGCTTGAATGATGTGGCCAGGACCAGCAATAGCAGCTAACCAGAAGAGGGTGGCGGGTGGGGAGAAGCAGCAGAGGAAAAACCAGAAAAAGCTTCATGTGGTGAAGGTGACATTTGAGCTTTGAAGGAAACTAGGAATCCTAAGAGGCAGAAACAAGGAGTGAATGAATTTCAAGAATGAGGGACAGTCTGTGCAAAAAGACAGGGAGATGGCAGATGGAATCCCTTCTTTGTGTCGGGGACATTAAGACCACCAGTCTAGCTGGATCAATCAACTGATCAGTCCGTCAACATTTATTAAACACCTACTACATACCATGCACTGTACTAAGCTCTGAGTCAAAAACTCATTAAGGGGAATAATATTTAATAAGACTAGAAGGTAGGTTAGAGTCAGGTTGTTAAGGACCTTAAATGCCAGGAGTTTGTATCTGATTTTAGAAGCAACAGAAAGTCACTAGAACTTCTTGAGCATGGAACTGACATGGTCAAACCTGTGTTTTAGCAATACCACTTTGGCATTTGTGTGGAAGAGAGATGGGAAGAAAAGGAACTTGACACAGGGAGATCAATTGGCTATAATCCAGACAAGAGGAACTGAGGGCCCTGAGCTAGGATGGTGGTCTGTGCATGGAGAGGAGGAGGAGGCAGATTCAAGAAATACGTGGCACTAGTATCAACATGACTTGGCAAATGATTGGATCTAGGGAATGACACAGAAAGAAAAGTCAGGGATGACTCCAATGTTGTGAATGAGGTGACTAAAAGTATGGTGGTGCCAAGAAGAAACATAGGTTAGATGGAAAAGGGATGGAGTTCAGGAAAAAGTAGTATGTTGTGTTTGGGACATTTTGAGTTTCAGAGTGCTAAGGTTGAAGAATCAAAAGAATTTCATTGGATGTTGAAAAGGCCTTAGAGACTATCTAGTCTAAGCCCCTGATTTTACAGATAAGAAAACTGAGGGTGAGGTGAAATGATTTGAACAAGATAACAGGTGTAGTAGATAGGAAAGCTGGGATTCAAAAATTTTCCAATGCTAGATTTAGTAGAGGCAATTAGGTGGTGCAGTGATAGAATGCTGGGGCTGGAGTCAGAAAAATCCAAGTTCAAAGGTGACTTTACTAACTGGGCAAGTCACTTAATGGCTGCTTGCCTCAGTTTCCTCACCTGTAAAATGGGGATAATTACAGCACCCACCTGCCAGGGTTGTTGTAAGGATCAAATGAGATAATATTTGTAAAGTGTTTACTTAGTACAGTGCCTGGCACATAGCAGGAACGACATAAACGTAAGCTATTACCAGCTATCATTACACTGCACTTTGCCTCAGTATCGGCAAACTCCCTTCTTCAGTAAAGGTACTCAAGTGGCTATCCTGTGTCTCATTTTTGTGTTCAACATAAAAAGATGGTATGAGATATAGTCTCAAAAGAACTGAGTTCAAGTTCTTGGCTCTGACACTTATCAATTGTATCACAATGGGCAGGTCATTTCCCTTTCTCAGGCCTCAGCTTAACCATCTTTCTTACACACAGGGCAACTTAAAGTCTGAGTGGGTGCCTAGAAAAGGCTCAAGGTATTCTGTCAGTCTGCACCAATTAAAAACCACAGCTCACGAGATCCCACAGGTGTGTTTTACTTTTACAGATCAGCCAGGTGGCATAACTTCCTCAAAGCAAAGGCCTTCAATCTTCTTGACTTTTAACAAATAGTTGCATGTACCTTTAGTTGGTACTACTATTGATTGCTATTTTGCTTAATTGTTTTCAGGAAGCATGTTTTGCAAATTTATGTTTGTCTGCTATGTGAAATCAAAATATGTCAATAAAAACAAGGTAAATTTTTACCAAAAAAGAAGAAAAGAGAGAACAATGCATGAGTAAAGTAGTACGAGAACATTTTTCGCCATAAATATAGACTTAGCTTATCATCCCTGGCCCACTGTACAATGTACAAAAGAATCTTCTTGTACTCAATGTACAGTTCTAAAAAGATAGTAAGAGTGTTCCTGATGAAAGGACAACTTATCTCTCTACCAAGACTTTGCTTGCTTCTGATGTTTGTGTTCGTGTCAACAAAAGGCAGATAAGGGGCAGCTAGGTGGCGCAGTGGATAGAGCACCGGCCCTGAAATCAGGAGGACCTGAGTTCAAATGCGGCCTCATACCAAACACTTGACACTTACTAGCTGTGTGGCCTTGGGTAAGTCACTTAACCCCAACTGCCTAAAAAAAAAAAAGGGCAGATATAGGGATAGTCTTCATCTGATCCAAGTGTTAGATTCATTTCTAAGTCTGGTGTTGGGACTTATTTTTTCATGGAAACACTGGGAATCACAAATTGTCAGTGCTGAAGGAGACTTTAAAAGTCATTTAACACAACTTCCTTTCCAATGCATGAATCCATTCTGTAACATCCATGAAAGCAGTCCTGTTTGTACTTCTTCCTATCCTTTCTGCTCTCTTCTCTTCCTTTTCAAAAGAGATGCCTCAATGATCTTTTCTTTTTCTAGCTCTCTTCTGTATCTTTGGCTACCTGGCCCCCTCCCCTTCCACTGGAAAAAAAGAAAAAGAAAAACCAAGTCCTTGCAACAAACATGCGTTAGTCATGGCTAAAATTTTCAGAAACGTCTTCATTATACGAAGCTAAAATCTGCCTTCTGTTTTAACCTTCCTATAACTTTTGCCAAATGATCTGAGGTTTCCCCTCTGGAGCTAAACAGGTTGTCTAATCCTTCTTCCATATGATGATCCTTTAAATATTTGAAGACATACAGATCACTAAAACCCCTCCATCTTTTTTTTTCTTCAGATGAACTGTCCTTTAATCTTTGTGAGAAATTAGCATTTTATTGATTTCTTCTGTTTGTAAGATGTAGGCATTTCTGGACACAGCCCTGTTCTCTCAGTGAGGCTTCCCCTTGTTAACAAAGAAAAACAGTCAAGCAAAGTGAACCAAAAAAGGAACCACATCAGACAGTGTATACAACCCACTGCACCCACAGTCTTCTACCTCTCCATGGAAGGCAGATTCATCAGCAGCCAAGAATGGCCATTCTAAATATATAGTGCTGGTTTCATCTTTGTCTTCTTTTCACTATTGTATATCATGAGATATTATATCATAGAGTCACAGATTTAGAGCTAGCATTATCTATCTCAACCCC